AAGGAACACCTTCTAAAAAGAGGAAGTACAAAATACCTACCCCGGAGGGGGGCAAAACCCCGGAAAGGAAAGTAGTGGGGGGCCCCCCCCCCCCCCGGCGCCGCGTCCAGTCAGGCCAAATTTGAAACGCGGGAAAAACGAAATATACCTTTTGAAAATACCATGCTCCTGTTTCCTATATACAAGTAAAACACAACACGATGCTAAAGTTGCAAAATGATAAACTGGAGTTTTCACAGTGGTGTTCATAAAAGCATCGCGTTAACTTTAATTCCTGTTTTACTCGGGTTCTGTTATTACGTTGTGTATGATCCTAGACGCTAAACCCGCTGACTTGACGAGCGATTGGAGTTTTAGAGTTCCGTATTTGTAGTTTTACTTGTTTGATCGTTGGCCAGAAAATGAAACCCTGGTTGTTTACCATTTACATGGGCAAATGGTATGCAAAATTCATGACTGATAAGATTCGTCCCGGGACCGCGTTTTAATAAAATTTCTACAAATCAGTTCCATTTCCCGAAAAACGACCGCGAAGACCTGAAACTGGTACCAAAGATGGCCTTGAAGAAATGGAAGACGAATGTCCGTTTGGAATATTCCAAACGTAGTTAATTGATAAACCGATAATCGATAATAATCGTTAGAAATCGATATCAATCATCGATGAATATCGATTTCCAATGTGGATCGATAGAAATCGATAAAGAAAAAAAGTTGTGACTTCGATTAATATCGATGATTTTCCGATAGCAATCGATGATGATTTTAATCGATTGTTATCGATAACTATCGATTCCTATCGATTGTTATCGATTTTGTTAATCGATAATAATCGATAAATTATTTTTTCTGTGACTTCGGTTTTGCTGGAACGACCCAAAAAGTCGTGTTCCATTTACTTTTCAACCGGGTTTTCCCAGACGTTTTCCGGAAAATTTTTTATGTTAACCAAGCCCTGTCTTGGAGATACCGGTATGTATCGTTTCAAACCTTTCCCCGGCTCCATCCTTTTTTAAATCAGTTTAACTGTGAACCACAGGACACCCACTTTTGACGACGAAAAGATCAAGAAGCGTTTGAAGTTTGTTGTAATCTATGATCAACACAATTCACACGCAGAGCTAGGCACACTTAACGCGCGTCCGACTGACCGTATTCTAAGAAACGAATTCATGTGTAAACTAAAAAATTCACTTGATGCGGCTTACACTGCACCAGGAGCCCTGACTGCACGCCAAGCTTGCCATCACCGTGCACCCCTCCCTATATCTCTAATATGTCTTTCTCTCTTCTCCAAAAATAGTCCTGATCGCAGCTTATTACATGGTAAAATTTAGAAATCTGGTAGAAATTCTTAAATAATTAAGATTAATTTAAAATTTCGCAGCCGGTATAACAAAATCTGTCGCTAATTTCTGCTTATTCTTATAATTCCTGAGTGCCCAATCGAACGCACCCTTGGACCCTGTCCATACCAACCCAAATATTTTTGAAACCAGTGAATACGCTCACCAAGACCGCATCTTTTGTCATATGAAAACGCACTCCCTCTCGTGGTATATGCACAAAATTGACATGCTTTGAGATCAGGGAAACCAATAAGTTGCAAAAAACAACAACAGTTATCTGACGGGTTGCCTCTTCCAAAACCGTGATGAGGTCTATTCAGGACTCCGATATGAGCTTGAGAAGGGGATTCTTGTCGTTCCGGAGGCCGCCCACCCTCTATGGGAGCTCGTTGGAATTTGTATTTTATAACTGAAATTGGATGAGGATAAACAAAGTAATAACCTGCGAAAGCAGCCATTTCTCTTCCCTCCTCGCCGCTTGGGACGTTTCGCGAAACGACGTCCCCTGCGGTGAGGAGCGAGGAGAAAAGGCTGCATTCGCAGGGTGACAAAATAACGTAAATGACTGATCCCGCACCGACTTCAAAGATTGTTTGTGATTAGCTGGGAAAACAATAGGGATTGTCACATAACAATGCCCCTATCCCTGAAAACAATGGAAGTGCAGATTACAGGGGGCCTGTGAAATAAGGGTTTAGACAGGTGCAGGTTTACTGAAATGATTTAATAGACGTCTGGAACGTTTATTGCCTTTATTCAATTCTGAGGGTTCAAAAGAGGACGTTTAATATAAAAGAGGCGTTTATTCTAATATCTGTAACCAGCTCAACAAAACTAATTTACTTTTGTCGAAAATATCAAGAAAGTTTAAAAGAAATTCCAAATTAACTCCCATAAATTCTGGTCAAAGAGTCTCGCTTTTTTTCTTTTTCTTTTTCTTCTTCTTTTTTGTTTTTGTTTTGTGGTGCAATGTTTTTCCAATTCAGACTCGCTCCAGATCAACTAGGTAACGTCTATTTGTAAACAAAATATCAGAATAAAACCAAGCACCGACATTTGGTGTTGATCCTTTACCAGGAGTAATGAGCTCCTGTTTTTACGCAATTTGTAACACGACTGAGCTCTTTAAATTGGTTCGGGAATTGTTTGCGTGCTAAGATCTGTTAAGAAGCCGCCTCCCTAAAATAACTCCTCGATTGGAAGGGTCTTAGTCTGTACGGCGTTCGATTCAAACTTGTCCCAGTGTCCCGCGAGAGCGCGCCAAAATCATTTAACACGTGACCATCTCACATCGCCAAACGCATGTATTGTGTCCTGCATGTCTGGTGCAGCGGCAAAACTGTTGGTTTGTAATTTAGAGCCACATTTTACGTAAGTATGTTATCCTGTCCGTGGATTTTAAAGTATTAACCAAGTAATATAACGTCAAGGCTAAGGAAATGACAACGATCCACAGTTTTGCAACCTCGAGGAAGGGAAATATTGTTGCATTTTTCTCTTACACCCTGGGTTTAATTCTACGCAGGAAACACAGTCAAGAACTCTTCGTTTGCGAATTATTTTACCGTGTTGTGGTATAAGGAGTTATCATCTTGTAAATTTTGTGCATTGTATATATTTCGAGATCTTCAGTTTGGGACAACAAAGCGAAAGCTTTCTTACAGCGATTTAGCGATCGCCACATGTACGACTAAATACCAATGCAAAACCAACGGAGGTTTTCTTGGATGGTTTGGACGATATTTATGCCTTCAAGAAAGTTATCAAGTCATACACGGCTTCGCTCTAGTTAAAGGAAAGAATTTAAAACGCCTGGAAGGTCAAAGTAAAGTGTATCGTAGTTTTGGTGGAGTCTGCTTATTTTAGCAGTCATCCACCATTTTTGATTCGTGACTCATTCGTAGTTCGTTGTCATCTTCCGTTGTCCACAAGCCTGATATTTTTGTTTAAGGGATCCTTTTTGTTTAAAGGTAAAAATTATGTTGTTTAAGACCTTAGGAAAGGCGTTTATAAGACTGTCCAGCTTTAAATAACGTAAGCTTAAGTTAGTTCGGTTGATTTGTGAACGAGAGCTTTGACGCATGCAAGTACTTCCGTTTTAACTTTCCTTACTTTGCAATCTCACTTTTGAATTCTACTTGTTCCATATATTCATGAAATTAACGGTTTCTTTACCGTGTATGCTTATTTTAATGCTTTTCTTTCGCAGGAGGGTTGTACATACTTTGTATATACTGTACAGATAGGGAACTAGAAATATGAAAGGAGGAACTCCAACGCCACAGACCAAACACACAGATGGCTTGACTTCCAAAAAGGCAAATACCTGTTTTGTACAGCCTAATTGTACTTAATTCTCCTTAGATGTCGCTGGCAAATTTACATAAAGTTTAATCATCTTTTAAGTCAGTTATTAATTTTATTGGCCATTGGATGGCATATGTACGCTCATTTTTTTATTCCCAGTTAAGTTGCAACCTGTTGGCTAAGTTAATAGATTGCTCAATCAACAAATGTTGTTAACAGAATAATTTTCAGTTTTATTTAAAAAAGTAACGATTTTTATGGTTCTTCAATTTCTACTTAAAATAACTGGGCACCAAGGTTAACCTCGACAAGGAGGACAACACAACAAGGAATGGATGTGGAAGACATTGCAAAGTAGTTTTGGAAATTTTGGAAAATGAGTCTGATCCCAAATAGCTATGATTGGTTTTGAAATATCTTAGTAATGATGTCTTAGTAGAGTTATTAATGCAAACCAGGGCTCAAAATCAGCTTTTTTAGTTCAGTAGCCAGCCAGCAACTAATGGGAAAAATTTGGTTGACAATTTATTTAATATTATAGCTCAAAAAGTGCTTTTAAGTGTTACTCCCCTTGCAAGAAAAAAAAGGTAGAGGCCCACACAAGCCAAAGGCCAAAACGGCCAGAGCTTATCCTGGTTTCCTTAGCATGAAGCATGCCTAGGAGTATTGCTACTCCCCCTTGGATGGGATGCTAGTCCATTGCAGGGTTATCCCCCAGCAGTATGTCACTGCTACCCATTTATACCCCTGGGTGAATAGAGACAAACCGGGGATCTTAGGTCTTCAGTGAAAAATCTGCTTGCCGTACCTGCTTTTAATATAAACAGTTATGGCCGTCATGCTTTTTCTGTTGCTGCGCCTCTTCTTTGGAATCTTCCTGACTTGATGACTTGACTGTCATGTTTTTATGTCTTAATTATGTTGTCTTTAGGTTTTGTACTTTTTTATTGTGGTTTTTAAATTTAAATTTTACTGTAGTTTTAAATTTTTTAAACTTGTAAATAGTGCCTTTGGACCCCGGGAAAGGGTGTGTTTTAAATGTTGAGCGTTATTATTATTGTTCTGGTGAGTCACTAGCACTCAATTCTTGGTTGCATTGGCAAGCCAGTGAGTCACAATTTTGAGCCCTGCAAGTTATTAGGTAAACAGAACTATTATCTTAATTTTTGATAATGCATAAAAGACAAAAACAACAAGCAAAATGCAAAATGGCAGGACTAACTTTGCATCTAAGTAAGGAGATTATATGTTAATAGGTTCTTGTAATTTTTCAGCCTACTGCAGAACAGATAAGATATGCCCAACTTTTAAACACAGAAGATTCCAAAGCCATGAAAGACAAGATCAAACAGGTGCCATTTTTTTACTTTGAAGCAGTTATAAAATAATGTTATGTACTTTGAAAAGCACTGGGTTATATAAGTGATTCTAAAAGCAACTTGGGTAGTTATGTATTTTATATGAAAATGCTAAATTGATAGAATATGTGACAGAGATTTACCCTTTTTTGTAGTATTCGATTTTAGAAATTGTATGGTTGTTTATATTTAGTTCTTTGCTTAATTGCAAGAAAAATCATTGAAGATTGATTTAAAAAGTGACAGTTCTGTCCTTAATCATATCACAGGCAGTCATTGAAGTACTGATATAATTATTTTCTCTTACCCTTTCCAAGCCCTATAAATAGTTGTATTAACAAAATTTTGTTGGAGTTTATCTCTGTTTGATTAAAGACTCTTAGTACAGTTTCATTTGCCTTTCCCAACTTTAATGCAAAGAACATTCAATACTTCAGCTGTTTATTTTTTAGGTTTGTGATGTCACAGGATACGGTTATGATGAAGTATGTATTGCCCTGCATGATAACGATTTTGACACAGAAGCGACAATTAATGCCTTGCTGGAAGGACGTCAAGACCAGGTTGGTTATTTGGTAGTTTTATATGTGTCTCAAATAATATTATTGATATAGTACTAGTGCAACATTGATGAATCTGCAGTAAATCCTTAGACTACGAGCAGTCTCTCTTTTTTCTCTAGTCCGTCGAGCAAAACACGAGACATGCAAATGGCCACGCGTGTGACTGATGGCGCTAGTGGGGAGAGGCACGAAAAAAGAGAGACTACCTGCAAAGCCAGAGAGAATGGTCTTTCACGGTCTAGTGATTTTTTTGGCGTCAAAACTGAAGTGTTGACAGGCCAGGCATGTGAAACGTGACTTTGGAGTTTGAATGAACAACATTACACTCACGGACTAAAGAAAAGCGCTTAGTTATTCAGATCCAGAAGGCACTTCGGAGAAAATTGGAACCCTTTATTCAGCCGTAATAAAAAAGCTTTACGCTTCAAAAGAGGTCAAAGAAAATGCGCTTGTATAAGAGGGAAAATCCNGACTAAAGAAAAGCGCTTAGTTATTCAGATCCAGAAGGCACTTCGGAGAAAATTGGAACCCTTTATTCAGCCGTAATAAAAAAGCTTTACGCTTCAAAAGAGGTCAAAGAAAATGCGCTTGTATAAGAGGGCAAATCCTGCCGACCACAAACAATTATAGCTACAGTAAATCGATATGTGTGTCATGACCTCTCAGTATGAAACATGCGACTAAAATCACATTTGCTCAGTGAAAACGTAGAACCTTCCAGAGCATAATCTACCCAGCAGAGAAAAAAAACTTTATTGGAATAAGCAGCATTTTGGCTGGAGGTAAAAGTCGTGTAGGCCTACCACCCCCATTTATTGCTATTTCTAAAGTAAGACTACTGTTTTGGAACTAAGGTATTCCTTGACAGTGAAGAGAGGCTTTGAGCATTTAAATTGTGCGATCACATCACATACCCAGAGAGATGAGACCTCCTTACGCTTCTCTTTGCTCCGTATCTAATGTTTTTTTTTTTCGGGAAACGTGAAAAACTTTCCTGCTCAGTGCTTCAGCCATCATCAACTTGTCAATGGTTTTGATTGTTGACAGTTTGTTGTCAACGCTTCACAAATCAGCCATTCGCATTTTGCGTTGTGAGGCCAACGCTTAATTCATTGGCTCTGGCTAAACGGGCAGTCTCTCTTTTTTCTTCTTCGGGCTGCTGCCCTCGTTTCGCGCGTCTCGCGGCTTTGCCGCTCCCGTGTGTGTGCATTGCTCTCACTAAATCTGAAGAAAAAGAGAGACTGCTCGCAGTCTATAAATCCTTGTCTAAAGGAAGTGCCAAGAGACTGGGATAATGTCTCTAATATAATGGGGGTCATAATAGCAAGAACTGCCATTTTTTAAACATTTTTTATTTGGTGTGAAGAATGTCAGTCATTTTATCATAGTGTTCAAAGCTCAAAAAGACTTGTCTTGTCTTGTGACTTGTCAGCTTGTCCTTTGGACAAGCAGATCTCATATGTTGCTTACCCAGGGCCACTTCTTGCTTGTCAAAGTTATTGTTGGATCAATTTAGGTTTCCAGGAAACTGCCCACCTACCCCTCCCCCACGCTAACATTAACACTTACTTCTCGCTTAGGGCAAAATGTTGGCTTAGGGGAGGGGTAAGTGGGCAGTTTCCTAGAAACTTAAATTGATCCTTATTGTTTTTGTTAGAGGATGACTTGTGTGGGCCCTTGTCCATCGCGCCCGTGAGCTTTAAAAATTACTTGCCCAGCAAGATAATCTGCTTGTCCCTAACTACCAGGCAGGACTTTCTTCAAACCATGCTAATCTATCAGGCCATCTTTAGCCTTTTTTTGTGTACACATGTTTGCAAATTGGCAAAATTTAAGGTGACTCGACCCAGTTTTTTTGGGGGGGTACCATCCTACTTTGAAGCTCTCTGGTATCCCCACCTTTACTTTTATCGTAAGTCTAACACATAGAATGGATAACATATAGATCAATCTACAATATAACATAAAATTTTTGGCAATCGGAGTAAATGTCACGTGGTTATAATGCCACGCCCCTTTGAGGTCTGAGTCGAAAATCTGCTGTTGCCGGCATTTTTTCGTGAAAATCTCTCGGCTACACATAGTGCGCATTAGTGCCTTGCGCTGAACAGAGTTTCACCAAAATCGCAAAGACCCAATTCGAGAAATTCAGCGGTTTCCAAATTTAGGTCATAATTTATGCGAAAATGATAAGCAAACTTTACACGGATTATATCTAATAAACTATGAGATTCATCTCTTTATTTTGGGCATCGTTATAACAGATGGGTCCTTGCAAGTCAGCAAAACGCTTTAGGGCCTTGTAAATGCGCGCGATTTCGAGCAAAGCAAACATATAGAAATTATAGTTTTCGCTATTTGTTGACGTTTGTCAGCGTTTAAGAGTCCTTCTCACGAAAAAAGCATTTTCTTAAAAATTCGTAGTTTTTTTTCCTTCAAATTTTTTCAGGGCCACAATTGATTAACTAACTACCCGGACTCTGAATTTCATGGTCATTGAAAAACTGTGACATTACCTTCTATAAGCCCAAACTTGAGTAAACATTGAAGATTTTTAGCGTTTTGGCTGAGTTTGTGCTTTGGGAGTTGTCTGTTGTTTCTAGTCTGTCATTATACAGCATTCTTGTTCAGCACGCGTGCAATGACCACGCTTGGCTGACTTCCGAATGCTCACCGAGATATTCCCGTCACGACTTGGTTTAATTATTGGCTTGCATTAAACCTATGAAAAAATGATATTTTTTTAATAGTAAGTAGATTTAGTGTGTAGCACTTCTTGATTTTTTTGCAAAGGCACAAGAAGCACGAGAATAAAAATTAAAAATTGATTAAAAATTGTGACTTTGACCTCTATGTATCACGCGATGGCCTGTCTCACTGTACCAAGGGACGTGGCAGCACCTTGACCAAACTTGTTAGCGACTTTTCACCAAAGAAATAGAAAATGTCATGCTTTGAGCAGCCCACTGAAATGAAAGTTGCTGTAATGTTGTAGTAAACATTTCATATCAGACAGTAAAGAAGCCAAGAAATGTTTTAAAAACTTTCTGGAAATGTTTTAAAATGAGTAGAAGGAGAAAGAAAAGGTTTGGAAATTTAAAGCATTCCGCAAAAGTTGAAAAGGAGAATTCTTGTTCACTGTGAACTACTAATTCTTTTACACATTTGTTCAAGCGTGAAACATGCAAGTTATGTGCAACATCATTTTAAAATCACTTTATATTTTCAAGTTTTCTCAAGGAAGAAAGTGAAATTTAAATTCAAAAAGATTTTGGTCACATGCTGGGCAATTGGTTCTTGGCAGATTCTGTTCAATAGTGTAGCAGTACACACACGCTGATCGTGGAAAGTGAAAAAAAGTGTTCAGAATGTGCCATTTTCATCACACGTGAATTAGCGACAGCTACATTTGAAAGCTGGAAAAAGACAAGCAAATATCTCCTGATTGATTTTTTAAATATGATCATAACATGCCGGGATATTTGCAAGAAGTGGGTAGCAAAATTGCAGGGAACAAATGTGTTCATTCCTGGTTCCAAGAATTTTAAGTCATCAGCCATTGCTGAAAAATGTACAAAGCAAACTTATTCATTATTGACAGCCAGGAAAAAAATAAGCCTTGACAAAAACAGCCTAGAGATTCAGGCTAAAAGGTGTCATTTTATTTTCAACCCTTAGGTAGTATGAAGTGTTGCTTCAGATGGTAAATTTTACTATTTACCGCTTGAGAACACTGAGTATTTCCAAAGAATTGCATGTCTACTTATGTGAAATCCTTCACCTTTTTACTTTGAAGGTTCATTTCCTTGTACAAGTTATGATATTATTGCTTTGTGTTAACATTTGCTAGAGTGAATGGGTCATGAGAACAAATAAAAAGAAGAAACATCAAACGCCAGTCACTCAGGCCATTGATTCAATCATTCCCACATCAGAAATGGCTCCATCACAGACAACTACAGCACCATCGTCTAAACCAGGAGGACAACGGCAAAACAGAGGAAAAGGTTCTTTAAATTTTTGTTACTTAAATACAATATTTTAGCCAGACTAGACCTCTATTTCTTAGTATTCTACATCTGCTTTCATACATAAGTCTGGAAAGTGTTCCCTACTTAAATTAACACATCCTTTAAAAAAAAATCAACTCCCTACCTTAAATTTGAAATAAATTACCCGGCATAGCCAAGTACTTCCCTCCTCCAATCCTATACAGTGTACAATTAGTTTTGAATTACATATACATCGTACAAATTTCGAGACCCCTTAGTCACTTGCCAACCTGTTTTTCCAATTTCAAAAAAAAAGGCTGTTGAACGTTTTTCATCGTGGGGCATATACATGTACTGTAAATGATCTACTAAATGCCTGGGGTGTCTATTCAATTTTAGGGGTCCAAGTGGGGGCATGTAATAGATAGGAGGTGTTTAGAAGAGGGAGGTGTTTATTCTCATAAATATAACAAGCTCAACAAAACTAATATGCTTTTGACAATAGTATCAAGAGTGTTTAAAAATAATAGTGGAGTATCCACTCCATCTTGGCCATCTAGAGATGCATATCGCTCTTTCAAATCCAGGGTTTTCATTAAGAATTCTAGTAGCAGGAGAAAGGTGTTGCGTTACAGGAGAATATTTTGAAAGAGGCTCTATATCTGAATATAAAATAGTCATACTCTACAGAATGTTTGCAGGAGAGTCATGTCTAGTAAATGGAGAATTGTCCGTTCTCCAATGCCTTATTAACACCCTGCAAATCCCAACATCGATGTCCGAATCATCACTCAGGGTTATTGTGTTACCATCGTTCGTATTACCTTACTTTAAACTTGGTATTGAACAAGATGAAATACTCAAAGCCTTGTTAATCAAGCAAGAAACTGAATGAATTGAATGATTTTGCTCCTGTTTGCTAATTCCTATTTTTTGAAGTAATTCTCATAGGGGGCGTCTCGTTAATTAGAGAGAGGTATCTAATACAATAAATTTTAACAGTGTAGAGGGGGTGTTTATTAGATAAGAGGTGTTTATTTGGGAGGGGGCATTTGTAAGGTCATTTGCGGTAATTGTGCTTATTTATTTATTTATTTATGTAATTTGTCTCTAACATTTGTTGGTTTCTTTTGCTTCACTTAGGAAAAAATCGTCAGTCAGGGGATCACAATAACAGCTCTGAGAAAGATCAGAGGAATGAAGGAATAGTAAATAACAATGAGAGAAATGCTGGTGAAAGTGGACGGGGAAGAGGATCTCGTGAAGACAGATGGAATGATCGGAAACCTGGTGGCAGAGGTTTGAAATTTGTTTGTGCATGTAAAATGATTTTTATGGCTGTCTGGTAATGTTTTATGTTTTTAAATCTACTTTCTATTATTTTTCTTTTTGCAGTGAGGTCTTCAATGATTTTGTTGTATTTGCTTTCTCATTAAAGAATTGATATAGATGGTGTGTTTTAATTTTAGGTGGACCTCCAAGGCGAAGTGGAAGAGGAGGGGGAAGGCCAGGGTCAGTATTAATACTTATAAATTATTTAGTGCAATTTTGCAGTGTCCTCATAGTGTGGCACTTGTGGTACTTGGCTGTTTTATATTGTGTTTTCTGTATGGTGGAATTTGTTAAATGAAATACTGAAAGAATTTGCTGGCAATACTGTTACAGTGGAAACTACATATTACAACCTGTTTCAAGCAGCCACCCTGTTTTAGACAACTTGTTTTTAAAGTGGTGATTTTTCAGTAACATCAGTCTTTGGTCATTTTCTTCTTAATTACAAAATTTAGAGTGTCTTGGACTTAAACAGCCTTTAATAATAATTGCAGAACTGTAAAGATGGTATACTACTTTGTTATCTGGCCTTATTAAGGGTACGTTCCTTTCGGATAATCTGGATCAGGATCAGTGATCTGAGATCACTTGGATCGGATGACGGAAGATCAAATGAACCAATGAATCCACTCTGGACAAGGATTCATGGGTTCATTTGATCTACCATGATCCGAGTGACCTTGGATCACTGATCCTGATCCTGATCATCTCAAAGGAACGCAGCCTAAGTGGCTGTGGCTACCCTTAAGGTGGCTCGACTGGATTTTTTAGGGGGGATACCTCCCAAGTTTGTGCATTAACTACGTCAGCATGAGTAAAGATATGGGAAAACAGCGTGCAAAGAAAGTAGTGTCCGATAGCCCGGGGCTAGTGGATTTTTCTATCGGGCCAGTGAATTCTGTTTTTTACTTGCCCGACAGGCAAGTGATGTTTTCTGAGGAATTTGAATAACAGAAGAACTGTGAAATCAATTGTGCTTGTCAAAAAGCTTTCGGGGCTAGTTGAAATGATGTCAGGACTAGTAAGTGCTATTTCAGCTTGCTGGAATGGCAAGCTGTAAAAATGATTTTCTTTGCACCCTGGAAAAAGGTCACCACAACTGTATTATATAAAGATGAAAATTTCTTATGATCTGGGTTTTATAGCGCCTTGCACTAATGACGTCACAAATTTTTGGTCCCTGCTGTGATTCAGACATTGAACCTGACCAGTATAAGAGTTTTGTGTGGGAAAGTCACGTTGGCCAGCAAATTTTTGTCGTCTTTGAAGATTTTTATCNCCTTGGATCACTGATCCTGATCCTGATCATCTCAAAGGAACGCAGCCTAAGTGGCTGTGGCTACCCTTAATGTGGCTCGACTGGATTTTTTAGGGGGGATACCTCCCAAGTTTGTGCATTAACTACGTCAGCATGAGTAAAGATATGGGAAAACAGCGTGCAAAGAAAGTAGTGTCCGATAGCCCAGGGCTAGTGGATTTTTCTATCGGGCCAGTGAATTCTGTTTTTTACTTGCCCGACAGGCAAGTGATGTTTTCTGAGGAATTTGAATAACAGAAGAACTGTGAAATCAATTGTGCTTGTCAAAAAGCTTTCGGGGCTAGTTGAAATGATGTCAGGACTAGTAAGTGCTATTTCAGCTTGCTGGAATGGCAAGCTGTAAAAATGATTTTCTTTGCACCCTGGAAAAAAGTCACCACAACTGTATTATATAAAGATGAAAATTTCTTATGATCTGGGTTTTATAGCGCCTTGCACTAATGACGTCACAAATTTTTGGTCCCTGCTGTGACTCAGACATTGAACCTGACCAGTATAAGAGTTTTGTGTGGGAAAGTCACGTTGGCCAGCAAATTTTTGTCGTCTTTGAAGATTTTTATCATCAAAAGAAACAAAATCCAGCTTGGTTTCAATAACTTATATCCTGAAAATAGTCAACGTGTGCCAAGAAAACGTTAAACATGGAAAAAACTGTACAGATGAGTGATTTTATTTCTAATGTGGTGTCATTACGGTGGGTAAAGTTATGTGACGGCATTTTACTAAGAATATATGGAATGCAGGGCTTCAAAGCTGTTCATAAAACGTTAAATTTATAGTCAAAGGCTGCTCAATTGTTTTTGAGTGCTTATGTTATGCTACTTTGATAGTACTACAGGATATAAGTACTGCATGGTACCTTCCTGACCACACAACAGCAGAACAAAATTATACAAGATTATACTGAGACAGAGCTGGGGATCCAATTTCAGTAGGCTTCTTTGATCAGGTCGCTTTATTTTCTGATGTTAACCATTTATTCAAGTTACTTGGACCAGGTTTTGCTCCTTATAGCAGTAATGCCTTTTATATACTAGTAATAGTTGACACTACAGCTGCCCCCATTCTGTATATTGTCGGTCAATAGTATTCTTGCTCGTTGTGTAGCTCTTTGAAATAATATACTGATTCACAATGAAGATTTTCACACATATTCCATACAATAGGTGAGATAAATACAGGAAACGCAAGGTTCCATGCACAGTTTCAGCTCGATTCACACAGCTTTGATCAAAACATTCTCAGTTTCGAGAATAGTTTATTCTAAACCATAAGAAAAGATTTAATTAGAAGTTGAATATTTCACTATTTCTCTTTCACTTTTTACATTCAGTTTATTTTATTTGCTGGAAAGTAAGCCTTAGAAATTAAAAGGACGTTTGATCGATTCACGCTCGCGCATTCTAGTCTTATTTTAAACTTTACAACGGAAGGACATCTGTGAGCAGGGAATAAGTCAGCACAGAATTTGATTTTTGGCAAATTTCTGTAATCGTCCATTGTTCTGCTAGTGATAAGCTAGCCGTTGTTCACTCGTCTTGCTTGTTTGGGGCTGAGTCTTATTCCGATCAAAGAGAGAGAAAGAGTGTCCGGCAAGGTTTCCAATATAAATCAAAGATTTGTGAACTCATGTCCGGCAAACTCTCCAAGTATTTATATATACACAGTTAAACGTACCTTATAACCTCATCTGCGCTCAACGAGTGTCTTTTGGTCCATAACTTTCGAAACAACTGCTCCACAGAATGTCACTGCGTAACGCAAAAGAGTATCGAAGTATGACTGCACAATAAATATCACAAAATCTACCTGAGCAGTTCCTTTGAGATTTTATGTCTTTACGTCATCCTAACCATTTCGTACTTGCGGGCCCAAACAATAGAAACGTCATCATTACCTACCGATTCCTCACGGCCCCTGTTCAAGCAAATCAAGATTTTTTCTATATTGACTGTATGACTGTATATTTCAACTGTAAGTACTTTCCTCAATATACGCACGAGTTACTACAGTGCCTCCTCGGGTTTCGCCTTCTGGGTGAAATCCCTGAGGGGGCAATTAGAATAAAGCTCAAAAAAAATTTAACAACGCTCATTGCGAATTTTATGAACAATTTTCATACAAAGCCTTTAAGTAGAATGCAAAGTTTGTCTGAGTCACTCAGGGAGCCTAAGGTGACAAAACCTATTTTTAGTAATAGTGCAAAGCGGTATTGCAATCGGAATCGCCATGGCAACGTAATGACACCATAACGATTTTTATTTATCTTTGTGTTTCTCTGTAGTTTTCGCTAATGGAGCATGTACCTGCCATAATTGCGTCAATTATGGCAAGGTTTAAACAAATTCATGAAAACGGTAACATAGCATGCTATCCACAAAATTAGCTAATATTTTAAGAAAATGATAAACTTTGGAAAAACGCCTTCATCTCATAGTGGTTTGATTCCATTGAAAACTGCATACGAAAAAAGAGGGTAATTGCTCTGGGCGATTGCAAGTAAGAAGAATTTTATTGACCTGCAATCAGCTGCTCTTGTTACAGTTTTTGCACGTAATTTGGTCCGTGCCTACCAATTTTACATTATTGAAAAAACCGCTCAATAATTTTTTTTATAAACTTGACAATCCCAAGATCAATAAATGTACCCTGAAAGTTTAAAAAACATTGGAAACAGGGAAGGCTTTTAAATAGGGCCTCAAATATAACCAATTTTTCCCTTAGATGTTGAGTTTACAGGTGAGCATTCTCATTATTTACTGGCATTGTTTTCAAGTTTCATATGCATGTGCACAGTTAGCTAAAGAAGTAAATTTGCATTTAAAAGAACTCAAGATTACTTGTTGAAGAAATATCGTGAATATGCTAATAATTGGCTTGTGTCACGGACACCAGTGAGAGCCGAAACAGTGAACGTCACAACTCATCATGTAGGATGCAATATTGAATTATTATCTTACTCGGGTGTAAGAGTTGCTGTGATGTTATATTATATAAGTAGTTTCTTTCCCTGGTTATTAGCATATTCCAGAGATTTTTTTGGGAAAGTAACCGAGGGTCCTTTTTGATGCAAATTTTTTTTGCTAGTTGTGCACATGTGGCAGGTATATACTCCCTTAAGCAATTTCTTAAAAAAAAGATAAAACAAAGATAAATATAAATCGTAATGGCGTCATTACATTGCCATGGCGACTCCGATTGCAATAAAACCCAGATCATAAGAAATTTTAATTTTTATGTAATATAGTTGTGGTGACCTTTTCGCCATATCTTTACTCATGCCGATGTAGTTGATACTCAAACTTGGGAGGTATCCCCCCTAAAAAATCCAGTCAAGCCACCTTAAGCATTCCTGTTTTGTTGTTAGTGGTGCTCTTATTTTCCCCTTGTATTGAGTCCACCATTGCTTGGAGACCTAAATAATCAAGTAACCTGTTATTTTTTGCATCCCTAATTAAAAATAACTGAAACTAAACTGAAACAGATGTAATACGTCATGACTTAAGAAATAGTGAGGCTACAGAATGATTAACCATTCATTGTTATTGTAATCAGTAAGTCACGGGAACACTGTATACTGTATATACCATAAGTAGAGGACAATTAATTCCAGCACGTAAAGTTGTGGTTCTTCTAATGCTGCATTTACCGTTTAGCAACTTTGTTGAAAGCATATTGAATTGCCTGAAAGCATTAGCTGTGCTGTCTTAATGTTTGCTGAAATAAATGGTGGTTGTATGTTATGAAGTGATCCTGTATTAAGAAGCCAGTTTTTTAACTCCCCAGGGTGGTCAGTATAATATAAGAACCATTGCAACTTTAAACTTGCTCATTTTTGTGGGCCATAATAATTTTAGGCGGTCATTCCAATCCCGTGGCCGTGATAGACCTAACAGATTTGGTGGAGGTAACAGAAATGCTTCAAATTCCACAGCAGTCAATGGACCAACAGTAAATGGTAGGTTTCCTGTTTAACATGGTGTAGAAGTCTGAAAAGGTTGTTGGGTAGGCAAAAGTGTAAGAAAGACCTGATAAGGTGTGAACTGGTGAGGTCAGAAGTTCCAATGTTCCCTCTGCAGCTGACAATGTCATACTTGTTCAGTGCCTTTCTTTACATGAGACTGTGCCTGAGAAAGCCTTTTCATGCTAGGTTTATTATTATGGAATATGATACAGTTATGTGTTAGGTATTTCAAAAGTATGCAAAAAGAAAAATGAAGCAGAAAAATGTAAGAAACTTTAGTTGCTAATTTAATAGGCCTTGTAAAGAGTGTACCATTTTATGAAGATGGTTAAAAAATCAAATTTATCTAAAAATGTAGAGCAAAAGACGATTGCTGCTCAAGTAGATCTAGTAGCCTGCATGGTAGGCAGTTTTTTGGTTTGTTTTTCTTTTGTAGTTTGTAAAGTAAAGAGATTCAGCCCTGTGAAAGCTGAACGGAGGTCAGAAAAGGAGAAGGTGCCAGGGAAGGAAGGCAGAATTGTCCTTTGTTGAGCTTTTGGGTGGCTGTTTATATATCTTTTATAATACAAACGAAAAACACACCAAAAAAACACTCACATTGTTTGTATAATAATAAAAATGGGGAAAAATATGTAGCTAGGTTACAGAAGTTGAGCCCTTGGGTTCAGAAAGAAAATGCAAAGCATGTTTCAACTGGTATTTGCACAGCAGCTGCATTTTATCTTGGGTATATCATTTCAACTTAAGATAATAAAATATTTTATCACATAAATTCTCTAAACAGTGTATCCACAAGTTGCCCATAGTTTTTAGGGCCAGTTATTTAAATGGCGTTTAGCGCTTGTTTAACAAAACCATGTTCTAAACTATTTTGAGTTTTCCCAATGTTTTTATTTAAACACCATTTATCAAGAATTATTTTGAAAGCACTTATTTTCTGAAATTAACACATTAGGAAAGAGATCTGGAGGTCCAGTGATTTCTTAAACCACTGACTAAGTTAGACTTTGTTTAAATAACTGACCCTAAGAGGTCATCATAATTATTGGGCAGACACAAGTTCCAGCGATTTTTGCTTTGCTTGGTGTGAGGGCTTCACTGTCATGATTAACTCCAGCTTTTTCAACCCCACCACATTCTTTGCCAAGTTCATTATTGATTTTATCCAGTTGTCACCTCCTTTTTCAAAGTTGTTGGTTTTCTTTTTCAGTTTTTGTTCACCAGTCATCTTCTTTAAAGATTAGTATAATTATTAAGATAGTTAATAGAGCATGAAAATATGGTACTCCTCTGCTTTAAGCAGTTATTTTTTGTTCTGATTAGGTGAAGAAATGTGGGGGGATGAAGATAGTACAAGCAAACAGACTGAGACAGAAGGTAATATCAATGAATACGGCAGGTTTTCAGTCAGTGGTGAATGCATTGTTTACATTCCTTGGTTTTCGAAGTATGACATTATTTTTGTAATATTAATACACTGTAAAATTGGATTAAAAAGGTAAATCAGAAGTTACAGCACCAACAACAGAGGAGTGGGGAGCTGAGGAATGGAGTCCTGTTAAGCAGGTAAAATATAGAACTAAACAGGCTGTTGAGACATATGTAAAAATTGTAAATATTTGTTTACCAATAAAGCAGGTAAAAACTCTCAAGAACCTGTTAACATGTTTGTGTGTTCTAGATTGAATTGGAATATTTATTGTCTTTAGAGGAGAGGAGAAAACTGCAGAACCTAGTGAAAAACCTCCAGGAGCAAAGGAGAGAACTAATAATAACTCAACCCATACATGGCATTGCAATGGGCATTCAAACCCCAGCAAACTTTGGTGGGAGGCCATTGCACTCACAACTGCCACAACCTTTTCTTCTTGGACAAAGACATTTCACTTTTAATTTTTATTTATCAAAACATCTTGTCATTGGGTCTGTGTGGTGAGGATGTGCAGTTTAAAGCTCATTAGAACAAAGTTTGTGTTCAAATTTCCATGCCTAGTGAGATGTGTAAGCTAAAGGATGCTTATTACAAGTATGATCCTCATTGTGAAGTAATTAAAATCAACATAAACTTACCAAATATGAAGTGATCTGAAAGTGTCGTAACATTCTTGTCACGTGCAAAGAAATTCAGCATTGATGGACATTACTACATTGATCACTGACACTTTGCCAGGGTCTACAATAAACATTGCAATACTTCCTTCATCTGTCAGAAGGTCTAACCTGCCTTCACTAGCATCTCATTGGATCTTACCAGAAGCATATAACCCTGAAGCATAACTCTGTCCCATGCTGGGGATTTTTAGGAAACCAATCAAAATTAATTTTACTCCCTAATATGGAATTACTGAGAGCAAGAATGTCGTATGAGTGCTTAGGGAAAACTTTTAATGTGATGTAAATGATGTGCTGTAAAAACCAATTACTGTTTTACGACGTAATATTTGATGAAAAATATAATATTATTCCCCATATGACCAGGATTGACTTCCTCCCAACAAGACAAAGTCGACTCATGGCATGCACCATAAGAGAAGTGATTTCTTGAAGTTGTCACTTCAAAAAACAGTTTTTGGGTGACCATTGGTGCAAATAACCTTAAGAATCACTTACTAACTATCTAGAATAACTAGTAACACATATTTTCAAATAAATTTCACTAGATGGGTTTGCAGGTAGTAGCTTGAGGATGATCCTTGTCAGTAAAACAGGTTGCAGATGCATGTTGGTGGCTGATTTCAGCGCGAGGCTTCACAATATTGTGAAGAAACGTAAACATCCTTGTCTTACTCTGTCACTGTTTGATGTTTTCAAGCCATACCACTTAACTTTGTGTCTCTTTATGTTTTCCTAGGGTTGCATTTATAGCAGCGTAATTACTTTATCTTTTATGCCCCGAAACGATTTCTTTCGGCCGTAGACATACATGTATACAGCGTTACAAGCTCAAAGTTTTTAGCCTTAAATTCTCTGATTCCATATTTTGGCAAAAAAGCTTCCGTGCTTCTGATTGGATGGCTACGTCAGCTAAAAATCTTCAGCATGGTTCTCAACAGATAAGGGGAATTTAGACACTTCAGGGTTATAATTATGCTTCTGATCGTACATTATGTTCATCAAGCTGCAAGAATCCAAGGTCTAGTGGATTGTAAAAGATACTGTGAAAAAGCACTTTCTCAAACAAATAAATTTTACATTTTTGTTTTGCAGTCAGTGTCATCAAGCACCAATGATGCATTGTTCAGTGGCAGTACAGGTACAGATTCCTGGCCAGTTAGTTCTGATAGCACTGTTGTGTCATGGGACACACAGACAGTCAATGATTCAACTGCTTCTACAGCACCAACCTCAGACACCAGACAAAAAGCCACTGATAACTCAACACACTGTCTTGAGAGGTATTAATGATGCTGAGTATGATATAAAATAATTGTGTGTATCAGGAGGGGGGAGGGGTGTTATCCAGAGAGACTGAGGGCTGAGGTGGTCAACAGTCTCTGAGATCTGCAAAATTCTTCATATCATTGAAAAGCCATATGCAATATTCTTTTAATATTCATACAATAATTCATATTTCATAGTTCTTAGCAACCTCACCTCCTTGTAGACGTTCTTCAAAACATTTGCCTGTTTATTGGTATGGTTTCAGAATATGAACATTTTGCAGATACTTCTCAAAAGATGACTTCTGTCTTGCAAAATTTTTTGTGCATTGTTGCATTTCTTCCATTCAGTTTAAGTCAGAAAATGGCTCTTTATCTCTGGTTAGCTGTGAATTAAAGAACTCTCTCGTCATTTCCTTGAGTTTATTTGTGCCAAAAGAGCTAGGCTGCAGCACTGCTGCCTGGAAATGAGGTTGCATGTATATAGTGGGGGGGGCAATATACCATGTTATCAATGGTATATTGCTCCCATCTTCCAAATTTGATCAGTGCCAGCTGGTCATGAAGAGTGAGGTGGAGTATTATAATTAAAGCTAATCAGAAACTGCAAAAAACTTTGAGTGAATGATGATTGTTTCGCATGTTAGCTAGGATGTTGTTAACTTCCTTTTCTGAGCTGTAATTTTCTAAGTGAAAATATTGGATTTTTCTGTTATTTCAAGTGATGACATGGCAATAATACATGCCATACCATGTGGCCATACAAATCAAGCTGGTGGTAAAGATCAGTTCTCTTCTGTCGATTTGCCAATACCACGTATCCCACTTCCGGGTGAACGACAGTCCTTACACAACCATCAAGACTGGATCAGCAAACTGATGGATAAAGTGGTTCTTTCCTCGTCAGTTGGAGTGTCCCCTAAAGATTCTTTGACAACAATTCAAGCTCAGCCACAGAGACAGCCACGTCCTAGCAGGACAAAGAAAACACCAAAGAGTCAGGTACTGTACAGACAGTATTTTTAGCTTGCAATATAATTGAGTGAAATATTTTCCTTGAGCTGATGAGAGTTTTCTGTTTTCAGATTCCTGTTCAAGCTGTGGAGATGCCAGGGTCTATGAATGACAATCTTGATGTACAAGTGAGTGTTTAAAAATACACATTTAAGAAAAACAACCACAATCTATTCCCTCTAAGTGCTAACTATGCACACTTTTTCATAATTGCTTTTAGACATTAGTAAAGTTTGTTGGAAGTAACAACTATTTACATTACAAAGAAATGGTGTTTTATCTCCAAAAAGCCACAGTTCAACAGTTTCTTATCCCTTGTTTCAGTCACCTTTCCTTACCTTCAGGCAAAGACTCAACCCTCAAGTATTTTCTTCTATTTATGTCTTGAACATTATTTTGTCATCTCTTTAGTTTGGAAATGTGGAATTTGGTGGTGATTCTGTCAGCAGTCCACGGAAAAAAGAGGTGCGTAATGAGAAATAAAAAATTTATTTTGCATCCAGCTGCAAATATCACTAACAGTAAGTTAGTTTAGCCTGTACTGCAGATATTTTCTTCTGGTGCATGAATATTTCTGTTCACATAACTGCCATGCTAAATTCTAAAAAAGTTGAAGAGTTAGGGCATACCAAAGGGTTTGGCAGGGTTCGTGTGGGTCATGGAAAACCTGGAAAGTCATGGAATTGAAGAATTTCATTTATCAGGCGTGGAATTAAGTCATTGAGTTTTTAAATTGCTGTGTCAGCAAGTGTAGGCAACGAAAGTCTATGTAACACGCAGGTAAGTGTGTTACCAAGGGAAAATCTTTGGCTGCCCAGACTGTTAAAGAGTTTAACAATTCAATGCAAGCTTATAGTTTTTGTTTTATTCACTAAACACAGGAGTTCCCTCCTGCTCAACAAGAGGACATAAGAGCTGAGGAACCAAGGTAATTCAATGTTATTGTTAGGTAATTACATCCTAGGAATCAGCAAATGTTGCTCTGTTGAGAAATGTTTTTTTCCTGTTAGAGGGTTAATGACAACATCACACTATTTTCTATTGGAAATAAGTGGCCTTAAGCATACATAGAACTTATGAACTTAACCTTTAGTTCAACCAGTAGCAGTGAGTCCCCAAGCCCACCATTGCCATCACAGCATACTGCGTCGAGTCTTCCATCCTCGCCAATTGCCACTCCCATTACCATAGCAACCTCAACTTCAGCTGGTTCAAGTTTGACATCATTAGAAGAGAGTTCATCAAGGCATTTCCAGCATCCATCTCCTCGGACTCAACAGCAGTCAATCAGCATATCACAAGTAACAAAGGTAATAATATTATTCACAGTGATTTTTCTCCCGCTTTTTAAAGTGCTCCATCATGATATCATCTGTGTGTTAGTATTTCCTTGGCAAATTTAGCTAGAATTGTGTAAGAGGCCTTATGGCTGATGGATTGGATGTCTTTTGTTTCTGTTTTTCTGTAACTAATTGAGATATGTGTCATTTTCTTGTAGCCAATTACACCAGAGCCAATTCCCCTGCCACCCCAGATAGACACAAGGGAGAGTTCCGTTCCAAGCAAATCACCGCTCTCTAGTGACCAACAGAAATCATCTCCCAATCTTCAGTCATCTACCATTTCCTCACCATCACTGAGTGCTGCAACAAACCATAACCAAGTAGGTTCTTCATCACCAATGAGGTCAACGTTGTCTTCATCTTTGCAGAAGGACATCAGCCTAGAGACAAGGCCTTACCAGGTACATTAAAAGTAATGATATCGATGTCAAATATTTACAAGAACTGTGCTGGCCATAATGGGGGGTATTTTTTTTTTTACTTTGGCAGCTTGAACTAAAACCAGCTTGTCACTTTCAAGTGAAAAAATATTGTTTATGATCTAAATCTGAGTAAATTTTTTTCGTATAAACTACAGTATGGCAGGAAACTTATAGGGCCAGGTATTTAGATGTATTTTAGCTAGCGTTTAACAAAACTGCTTTCTAAGACTTCAATTTGACCAACGGTTAATCTAAACACAAAAAAGTTTTATGAAAGCAGTTATAGAGTAGACTACAAAAGCATTTATCTTCTTAAAATAACCCACTGAGGAAGAGATCTGTGGGTTCAAAGATTTGTTAAACCACAGCTTAAGTTAGACTTCATTTAAATAACAGGCCCATAGTTTTCATTTCAGCTGTGACATAAAGCTCACCAGTAAAGAGTCAGTGTAATGCTGGTGAAGTAAAGCAAGTGTCTGTTAAGTTACTATTTTCCAAGTATTGTTTTCACTTACAGAAACATGTAACACAGCCATCAGTACCGTCAACAAAAGACAAGCTTAGCTCCAACTCACTGAGCAGCTCCACTGTTTCCTCTGGTGTATCTAGAAATGAAGGTCTGTCTTCTGTGGAACCACTTCACCCCCCTCCTGGGGTCACTGTTCCTGCTAATATGAATCAAGTGACAAGCTCATCATCCTCTGGTTTTACCACGGTAACAATGTCTGGCACAGGCAAACCACTTTCACATACCAGTGAGTTTTTACTTTTAAAATTTCTATTTTTTTTTTTTGTATAATTGTCTCTCACCGAAGAGTTTGAGAATCCATGTTCTAGCAACATTTCTTGTCTATTACACAATAGTTTTGGGCCATGGATGGTTTTATAAAAGTAATGGTTTTTGCTCCTGGTGTATCACACTAAACAAAAATTAAGTCTTCACGGTAAGTATAGTATGTACTTAAAGAATTGGGGAAAAAATATTAAGTCTTCACCATAAGTCGGTAGACCTTTAATAGCAATACTATAGTAAGTAGTAATAACCAAAGGTTATGGAGTGCAGACAACAACGATCAAAGGTGAAAACACTTTGAACCATCACTGTGCTTTGCATAAGTTCCATGTGACAGATAGCCGAAACATGTGATCAGATTACGAGTGACAGAAGGTCCGAACACGCGTGATCAAATTGCATTCTGTGCATTCCATTCATTCTTAGTGGAAGTCTAAACAAATGCTGCCTACATACATGCGACGCATGTGTAATAACATCCCAGAGATTAGGACTGCAGGCTTCTCTTGTTGCCTGCTATTATTCTGTAAATAAAAAAGAAATTTTCATTTCTTTTTAGTAAAATTTTGCCATAATTCCTATCCAAATAATAATGTTGTGTTTAGTTGATGAAATGATCCATTTTTCTTGGTTGGTGTTCATTATGTTGATTTTATGGTTATTTGTTTACAGCAAAACCATCATTACCACCTGGTGTGTTACCACTAAACCACTTATATGGCATGCAACAAGCAGGACTTATCCATGCTTATGTAAGTACTAAACCCTAGTATTAGTACATGTCTTATGCTCAAGTTCCTAGGCCAACAGGAGCAGGGTTGAGAATGAACTGACACATACCTGTATTTCTATTTTGTTTTTTCTTTGCAGCCATTACCATATGGCTATGAAGACCTCCAGAGACTACCAATGGTAAGAATTGTTTTGTGATGCCTTATTACATTGTGTAATTGATGTTGTTTGATGACATTCTTTATAGAGCTCGCAATTGATGGGAAAGACAAGAGCATTAAATTGGGATATTATGCTACTTGAAATGACAGTATGGTTTTCAGTAGAATCTGAATAAAACTTAAAGTGAGAACCAAAATTTTATATCATAATTATTTCCAGCACTAAACCAAATTTTCTGTCGTTACTTTTGCTTTAGTCTCCATACTATGACATACCACCTTTCCAAGCAGCAGGTAGAGATGGGCTTTCTACAACATTTCATGGTAAGTCTACCTTAATGTGCACTTAATTTGTGTTATAAATAAGTGAGTGCTGATGATCGAGAAAGTCTTCAAATCCATGTGAATGGCAAGTTCTTTAAAAGAAAGTAAGATTAACCAGGAATTGAAGAAAATGTCTTTAACCCTAGCAAGGATTGAACTTGTGACCTCTGAATGAGATCTTCCACAGCTGAAACGGGCTGAGCTTTAAGGGGAATTGGGGGCAGGTCATAAAAATATAAAATATAGGTGTTCAAGTCGCGGTAATGCAGATGTACTGTGTGAATTAATTGTGTGAGCTTCATATTATTGGTATGAAGTCATGCAAGTGCTGTGTAGGTTACAGGCTTAATTTGTAGAGTTTCACGTTGCCTAGTATAATGTGCTCTAAGAAAAATTTGAGGGAGTCAAAAATCTATCAACCTGTTTATTCAGGGAGCCTAGGTTTTGTGTTACTGTGAACTTTGACTAAATCTGGATCCCATCTTGGTGTGTAGAGAGGTACTTAGAATGGATGGAATGCAGACACTGTCAGTGCAGGGATGAAAACTCTTTTTTGATACAAATTAAATTGTCTCATTACATCAGAGAAAGGGTTTAATTCTTTGTGTTCTCAACAGCCTGACTAAACTAGATATGTTCATAGTTGAAGGGAACTGTGTTAATGGTGACAGTAAAATTAATATCCGTAGAGCTAAAATAAATGTGTCTTAATTTCTCGAATCACTGAAACAGGAGAGCAAAAGTTTGGTAGAACAGATGCATCTTCACCAGTGCCAACATCCCTGAACCAGGCAGTGACTGTTCCGCAAGCTCATCTCCAACAACAGGCATTTATTAATGCTACTACAATGCCTCCTTATTATGGTGGACTGGCTTTTTACCCAGGAGCTGGGATGATGGCGGGTGGATTCCCTGCTTATACTACACCTATGTACCAGGTACTTCATGCAAATTAATTATTTCAAGTTTACTTTTGGAATAAACAGAACCAAAGTTATGTGTTCCTTCTTGATTAAGCCCTTGCAATTTAACATTCACTTTACTTTTGTTTAATCTCAACATTGTTCAGATGCCAACAAAAACCCATGGAAATGCTTCACAATATCAGTCAGCTTACACGTCTGGTCAACATGGATCTCACAACTTTGCTTCTGGTAATTTACTCTGAATTATTGTCAATAAATTCATTTCTTGTTTATTCATAAATTTGTGGTCAATAATTTTTTTTGTTAGAAGCACAGTTTTGATCTTTTGTTTCTCTCTTTCTGCAGCATATGATGATTTAGGTCAAACCCATGATTTTGGAAAGTCTGGTTATCACACATCTGTTTCCCCATCACAAAGCAAGTCTAGCGCAGGTTTGGATTAGTCACTGTTTATTTCTGTTGCAAATTTAATATTCTGGGACAGGGACTTAATGTAGAGGTCTTAAGTCATGTTCCTAGCCAAACTGTTGCCATGAAAGTATTTTCCTTGCTGCCGGGGATCATTGTTATGCTTATTATTTTGTTCTTTGCTAATGATGTGCAACGTGCTTGTCTTCCAGGTGCATCTGTAAGTAGCACTTCAGATCTCTCAGGACCTTCATATAAGCCACAAGTTGGAAAGGTATGCAGAATAAATTTTGAGACTATAGACACCATGGGTCATTGCCAATTTCATTAATTAAAATGAGCAGGTGAACTTTCGTTCATCTTTTAGAGAAATATCCCTTTTTAGGATTCAATTGGCAAAAGGCTTTTAAAACAATGAAATGTATGTGGGTTATTTTTGTAAAATGATGTCACTGTGAAAATAGCCCATTGTTTTGATGGCTCCCATTATGTTATTGAAAATGTTGTTGATCTAGGGAAGGGATTGTGTAAGCCTGATTAAATTATATTGAATATTTAAATCTATTCTTTCTCTTGTTCTTAGTTCAGTGACAACAAACCATTTATGGGTGGGACACCTCCACCAGGCCCAGCTCTGAATCTATCCATGACAGGACAGCATGGCCCTCTGGGTAGTTACCCTCCCACAGGACACCCATTTATGTCAATGATGACCCATGTGCAGCAGCACCCTCCACCGTCTCACTACCACCACCATATGGCTCATCATATGGAGACTGGACAGCCAGGCACATCACAGAGAGGGTCTCAGGGACAAGGGCCTAAACAGGGACAGAATAAAGGGCATCAGGGTAGTTACCAAGGATCACCGTTTTGGTCTGGGACAAATTAAAATGGCAGCAGCTTCATTGTGATGCACTTGGCGCCCAGCATAAAGTGCCGTGTAATAATTATTGGCCTAGTGTGGTGCTGGTCTATTCCTCCTTAACTGTGTGAAATGTGTTCCCTAGTGAGCTTCAAGTAATGTTATATCAGAACCTTTTAGGATGTAAATGATGTGTACAGGCCCACTTACAACAAGCATGTAAATCTGTTTTGCAATAATTTAATGTTTTTCTTAGGTAGCCACTGTAAGGATTTTACAGATTGTAATCTTTGAAATAAACCTGAGTAATTTACAATGAATTGGTGATAAATTATCTACATGTTGCTCTACATTATTCACAGCAATGATATCTGACTTTATATCTACAATCTGTTGCATTCTTGGTGTAACTTTAAAAATGCACCATGAATTTTCCAAGAAGGGTGTGTTGTCCAACAAGCCAGTGACAGTCCAAGCCAGTTATACCTGACACTTTATTAAATTTGCTACCAGACAGAGGTCCCCAGGGGAAGAACGGAAGGTTGGGGATTTACCCCCTTGCACACCTGTACCTAACTCATAGAAGGGGTGAAAACTGTCAAAGATATGTACTACTGCAGTAGCCGGAAAAATTATTACAGATTAAGGTTTTCTTCAGCTTCTTGACCAATTCTAGAATAGCAAACTATTGCAAGACAGCACACACATGCATTGATTTGTTTGGGGTCATTATTTCCAGAAAGCAACGTCTTTTTGTTGTAGTCTGTACATCCTCTGTTAACATCAAGAGGTTACAACTGTTCCAAAACTACACCATTTTTTCATGTTGTTATTCCTTGAATTGCCACTCTTGCCTGCACATANGCAGTAGCCGGAAAAATTATTACAGATTAAGGTTTTCTTCAGCTTCTTGACCAATTCTAGAATAGCAAACTATTGCAAGACAGCACACACATGCATTGATTTGTTTGGGGTCATTATTTCCAGAAAGCAACGTCTTTTTGTTGTAGTCTGTACATCCTCTGTTAACATCAAGAGGTTACAACTGTTCCAAAACTACACCATTTTTTCATGTTGTTATTCCTTGAATTGCCACTCTTGCCTGCACATAGGGCATAGCTGTTGGTGCAGTTGAGAGTTGAGCCACTTAAGAATACAGTGCATATGAAACACATGAGAACACCGTCCCCAAACTGAAAGAGAGCACCAACATAGTCTTGTTAGGTGTAACTTATTTTATTTATTTCTCTGCAGCACAAGGGATAACCTAATATCAGAAGGAATTTCCAACAGTAACTATCTACAATACAGTAGAATCCTGATTTCTTGAACTCTCCATTTTTCAAAATTCGCGATAATTCAAACCACACCTAACTTCTATTCACCAGTCAAACACTGTAATTTTAGCCCGATTTTTCAAACCTCCCGATAATTGGAATGAGTTTGCTATTTCCAAGGCAGTTAAAAAAAACTGGGGTTCCACTGTATGCCTTTCATACAAGTTTTTACAATTGAGATATTTACCTAAAGGGCAGTCATCTCCTGGAATTTTACAGTCTGGGCAACAGCCATCAAATGCCATACGACAGATACCACAATTTTCATCATTAGCTACCCAACGCCAAGTGGCTACTCCTATCCACCTGAAAGATAAGAACATCGATAGTAAGACATGGGTGGGGAAAATGTTCCACTCGTTACACTCTTTCCAAGGAATAAAAATTGAACATGTCACATCCATTACCAGTGTCAGGGAATGACTGCTTTTGATTGGGGTCCCAAAATCAACCAACAAAGTATACTTTTTATTTCAAATATGTTTCATATATCATTAACAAAGTATACTTTGCAGGGTACAAAAAAGTTTCCCTCAGATGAAATCATGATAGAAGTATAAAAATTATTAAGCAACTGTAATTGCTATAATGGTGCAAGCGTGCAAGCAAAGCAAGGTAACCGCCAACATAATTCTTGACAAAATACTGTGGAACCTCGATACAATGAAGTCAAAGGACTGGCAAAAACATGTTTCCTATAACAATGTTATTTTTCATTTGGGCCACTTGTGACCAAATATGAAGAACTTGATGACTGATTTAAATTTCATTCAGAAACAGCTTAAGCTGATGGCAGTAATGGAAATCCCACTGGCCAAACATAACACCTCTCACTCAAACCAGCTACAGACAACTCTCTGTAAGACGGACACCTTTGGGACAGGCCCTAAGTGTCCGTCTTAGAGAGATGTCCATCTTATAGAGAGTCAAAGGGAGTAAAGAAGGAAGGTACCAACTCTAGGTGCCCGTTAAGAGAGAGTTGACTGTATACCAACTGCGCAAAGGAGGATCATGTTGCTGCTAATACTTTGTTTTCCTTTGTTTCGAGTTTATTAGCATATATTACCATACCCAAAAACAATGGGAAAAAAATTACCTGAGATAAAAAATTAACTACAGTATATATGTGTAGTTTTTAATAGTAACATTGCCAAATATTTTATGAATCACTTGTCCTTGATGTATTGGAAAAAGCCCGTTGAAAGTTCACAAGTTTTCAATTGGAAGTGCATACTGCTGTACATTTCGGTGTAGTCAATCGAAACCCAATTGAACTCCAATTGCTCGATTGACTCCAGTTGTGTTCAGTAATCAAACATAACTGAACTCACCCACACCTTTTGCCAATTGACCACAATCGAGCATTAGGAAGTCGGACACTTTCGCAATTAAACATAGTTGAACATTTGGAAATGGAAGCTTCAGTACACGAACAAGTTTCATCTCGTTTCAATCCGGGCATTGTGGTTAACAAATGTGGGTGTTTGTCAAATAATTTTTGCTTTGAAACACCGATTAACAGTAAAATAACTGATAGCTTGCTCAACAGAACAGCTGTTAGTCTTTAATAACTCACCAATAGTAACTCGGAACCCCTGGAAAAAAGACCTCGAGAGGCCATCCCCCCACCCCAGCAGCAATTGCCTCCTTTTGGAACCCTCTACCCTCTGAATTTCCATTGCCCTCCATGGAGGGTATGTAGAAAAACCCAGCATCAAAATGACAATTCTGAAAGAGATGGTTAAAGGCTTCCACAAGTGCTCTTTCCCCATTGGTGTTGATGATAAGAAAAAAAGGGGAGAAAGGGATCCAGCTCTTAAGGTAGCTGACAATGGTGGTGGCCGCCAGCTTGGACTCTACAGCATAAACTGATGCCTGTGCGTTGACCATTGACTGTCAAAGTGTTACAGTTAATACTGGAAGTGCTGTTAAAGCACTTTCAGCTTTAACTGTGAATTTCTTGATTACTTTAACGATAAAGACTTTAGTCAACTGAAATGTGTTTATGTTTTCATACCCGCCTGAGAGGGAAATCCTGCCAATCATAATCAAACAACATTGAACACGTTGATTTAGTTTGATTGGTTTGATTGAGTTCGATAATCAAATTCTCAAGTTTGATTGATCGAACTCACCGAAAAGTTCCAGTTCAATTATTTTCAATTACCGAACCAATCAAACAGCAATGCGACCGACTGGGTTAGATTAAGCTTGATTGATTTTTGGTTCAGTTTTGTTCGATAAGCTAGGCCAGGTGTACATACAAAGCATTCTGGTTTACAAAATGGGACCACAAAATTATACTCCTTAATAGGCTCCTGTTCCAAAAAGACACCCTATTCAAGACTCAAAACCCTGAACACCATAACCTGTTCAGCAGCCCTATTAAGGCCAAATAAGGGACTGCTGCTCCCCCTCCCCCAAAGCCAGGAACAAACTGGAAACAAAAAGTACTAGAATTTTCCTGGAGAGCCCCCTCATTATGACAGAAAAGGTCATATGTGATGAAAATTTTACTTTTAAAAGGTCTTGATTTCACTGAAAATATCACATCACCCTGGGTCTGCCTGCCCCTCTCAAGTCCCCACCCTACCCTGGGGCTTAACATTGATAGGTGCAAAAATATACAAGAGAAAGTGATCATCATTCTTAGCATATTAATTTTAAAGTAAGTAGTTATGTTAACTAGTTCTCCTACTATGGTGTTTACTGTTTTAGGAGTATATCATTAAAGTAAAGGGATTTCCTTTAACTACTATCTTCTCAGTGGTCAAGGACTGGTAAGATCTCTGTATAACCCCATACATTAATATGCATACAGTGTACATGTTTCGACTCTATTCATATTAAACTATTTGTGAGAAAAAGTACGAAATTACTGCATGCATGGTAAATGTATTGGGTTATACGGAAATCTTACCCAAATATTTAGTATCCAAATGAGGTTAATAAGAAATTTATCGTGCTTACTCTTTGGAGTACGTAGGTGCAGCAGTAGATTGTAGTCATTGTAAGGTCCAACAATACGTTGCGAGTAATAAATAGAGAAATTAACGTTAGAGAGAAAATTAATTTTGTTTTTAAATACATAACATATAAAAAAGGGATAAACGATCAATAATGTGTGAATTTTACAGCAAGAAATTCTAAAATACTCACGTTTGACTTTCACTTTCATCTTAGTTCGAAAATGGCGGCGCACTAATAAATCGGATCCAGTCTCCCTTACCTCACGATTGTTGAAGGCCTGGCGGTTTTTTTGCTGGGACGACTTTCTCTCATCATGTCACTTTTCGTGCAACGGGCTTTCCTTTTGAAGAGATTTTATTTGAAAGCTTTCGGAGTTTGTTTAAGAATTTTACATAACAAAAGCTTACTCTCAACAAGCTGTAGAAGATTATATCCTTCTCTTATTGGTACAAGAGGTTGTACAAGACCCAAGGTTATAACATATTTGAGAATTAGATTTATTAGCTACACCAATGGCTTCATTTTTATCCGCTTTAGATGATGTAACCGTAACTTGTAACGTTTCAGTTGCGTCAAGAAGTTGCGCCCAAGCAAGGGGCGAGAAGATTCTGCACTGCAAGGTAAGCAAAGATTTCCCAGTCACAGCTTGTTATCAAGTTAAAACAGTTTGTGTTTTTAATATATATATATAGGATGACCAATGATTCTTCGTGTCTTTCTTTTGCTGTTTGTCGTTTACTTTAGTGGTTTTTTTTTTATCAGCAGTACTTTAGATGATATATCATACCACAATATTGCAGATGAAACACTTGATGCAATTGCAGAACTATTTGAAGACCTTGGTGAAAGTCCTTCAAGTCCTACAGACTATGATGTTCAGTTAAGTGTAAGGCTGAGTCTTTGCCCTGATGGTAAACTCGTGTTATGTAATGGGTCATCCATTTTTTTATTGCGTTATTCTAATTTTTATCTTTTATTATTTTTTCACTCTGAAGGATGGAGTACTTACCGTTAACTTAGGAGGTAATTATGCACATGTCATCGGCTTGCCCCAAGGGTAGACCCCTGGGCCAACCAGGGGGATTGTAAAGTGGGTGGAGCAAAGTTGGGGATTTCCCCCAGTGGTGGGGGAATTTAATAAGACAAATTGCCCTGAGTCAAGTGCTTCTCAACAAAAAATCCCCGTGATATCCACCTCATATAACTGGGAGGGGGTGTTTTTATGATATTTAAGGATGAAATTTTACTCATTCGTGTTAGGCTTGGAGAAGCAATACAACATCTTTATTGAACAAAAATCTCTATAATGAAAGAACACCTGAAGACAGATTCACTAAGGTTAGGAGAGACTGATAGTTTTTCTATAGACTACTTAAGATGACCTGAAATAATCTACCCCATGATGCTAAAAAATCAATGGACTTTCATGTATGCTGTTGTTGGGATGTCTTGTGTTGAATGATATTGAATCACATTCCTAGTCCTCAAGAGAGACATCTCCTCTCCTCTCCAGGCCTCTCTCTGTAGTCACGTACATGTGCAGAGATGGGTGAAAGCTTGTATTCCTCTTTTCATCACTGGATGTTGCCCATAATAATGGTTTGAGGAAAGCGATAAATCCCTGTGATATCTCCATGGCTACCATCCGCAATTTTACAAAATTTGCAATTCCCCCACCCTCTTCCCTTTGAACTTAAAACAATGCTGTGAATTTTCCCCTCCCCAGGGGCAGAGAATCCAATCTATCCCCTTGTATTCCCCAACATATTCCCATGGTTGGCCCGGGGGTCTACCCCTGGAGCAAGCCGATGACATGTGCATCAAAACTTCTTAATATGTTAGTATATGGCCATAGGCAGACCTATTTTATTGATAGTTTTAAGGAAATACCCAGAAAGAAGCCTCCTTTAATATACTCTAGAAGGAGGAAGATGATGGTTACAAATTTCCAATCAGAGGGGTTTTCTTGGTGTGTATGGAATATGTTTTGGTTTAGAACTTCCCCCGTGTAGGTCCCCCCACCCCAAACTCCTCTGGAAATGCTTGTTAAGTTTCATGATAATATTTTCTTTAAGCTTTGAAGACCCCCTCTCCCTCAGAATTTCCAATGACCATCCATGATTTTTTTTCTGAAACCACATGATACATAGTACTATAGTACTTTCATGTTAGAGAGAAGTGTGACAAATTTTTATCCTCTTTCACCCACCTTCATTAATATTATTTTTAAGCGCTCCCTTACTTTGCACTTGCTGATACAGTCGAACCTCCTGTAAGCCACCACCCAAAATGCCAAGATTTAGTGGTCAAGATTTAGTGGCTTATGAGGTGGTTGTTTATGAGAGGATCTATTATAGGGCTTGGACAGGGAAAAATTGATGTTTTGGATAGGTTGTAGCTTAGGTGTGGTGGTGTTTTCACTAAGTGTTTTTTGTATTTTTGTTGTTTTTGCAGCTGGCCGTGGCATATATGTAATAAACAAACAAAGCCCCAATAAGCAAATATGGCTGTCGTCTCCTACCAGGTAAAAACATTAACTGCTGCATTGTGATCTCATTATCACCTGATTCAAACTGTTCATTATTTCTCTCTCAATGACGTTTTAGTGGCCCTAAAAGGTATGACTTCACGAGTGGAACTTGGATGTATGCTCATGATGGTGTTAGCCTCCACAGTTTGCTTTCATCAGAAATTTCTGGTGTACTTGGCCATGAAGTTGACTTTACTCGTCTTACATATGGTGCGGCGGATGAATTATGATGAACAATTGAGATCATTTTTAAGCATCCAAGTTTTGTTGCTCTTGGAGCTATCAATATCTGCTGTCCACTAGCATAGAACAATAACATTACTTCAAAGAAATTGGAAAGATAAAATCAGTCTTGATAGTTTAACAGACAGCTCTGCTAAACAAATCTTCAACAGACTTTATAAAAATTGAAAAAATATGGCCTAGGCTTTTTTTTTAGTACCACAGTTTAGAATTTCAAGTCAAAATTAACAGACTGAGTGTTGGTTTTCACTATCAAAGATCTTATTTGATTTTAAGAGTTGCTCCAGGCACAGCCAAGAGCAACTCTAGCCTCTTGAGTGCTCTCCAAACTTCCCAAGTGCTCAATATCTCGACATACGCACAGCTAAAGCGTGAACTAATATTGTTTTATAACATTATCAAAGCTATCAATGCAGCAGTTACCTTAAATTTTCATTATTAAAGCATGCGCTCAAAGCAGTATGCATCAATGTCTATGTAACTATATTTTTGTCTTGAAGTTAAATTATTCTTTATAACATGGCTAGAATATTTGCCTATTCAAATGCAATAGCATGAGTGTGCTTCATATTCCCATTGAGCATGCTGATGACGTCAATAAATTTAACTGAATATTAGTTTTGTTTACAACATTATACAGGTCTAGGATTGTTAAAACCATTTCTTACATGTAAGAAAAAGGAAACATTTTCTACGTTTGCACACCCTGATATAAATAGAAGAGGGTATTGGGAGAAGATGAGATGATCATTCCACCCTGTAACGATTTTGAGGGTTTGCAGAACTTTCAAGAATTCTCCCAACTCCTGGAGTGTTAATAACAGGCTATGCAAACACAGAAGAAGTTTTATATTGCTTTTACATATCTTTTCCAAGAAAAACACTCGAAAACACTCGTTGTTTATGACACAGATTATAAGAGAAATTGAAGTGCTTTATGCTAGAATGAATTGGACTCCACTCAGTCCTATTACCATTATTTATTTATGGCTGGACTTTCCCATAAGTTGTGAAAGCCAAGTGCAGACTATGAAACTGTGAATGGAGTGTGAAAAGAAAATTTAATTGATGGCCTTCAAAATGGTAATCCTTCCCGACAAATCCACAAGTAAATAAATGTTTTAAGTTATACTGCCCTATGATTATTGTTGATTATCTGTAAAATATCTGGTACAATCACTTTCTTTTACAAAGATGTTGACAATGTTCAGCTAAAACACACTGAACAATTTAGAATTGTGGTGTCCATGTCCTGTGCTTTCAAAAGGCTGGTATCCCTGTAATCTTGCAACCCTGAGAGGTTCAAACAATTGGCTTGGAAAGGTCTCTGAATTCCAGTCATACCATTCCCAACCTATTAAATTAGTAATATAATTTTCAGGAAATGTTGCTTCTTATAACCTTTTCTATTGATTATGTACTGATATGGTCAGGAGAAAATTTATGTTTGTTACTCTTGGGACTAAAGGGTCAAAGGACACGTTGTATTCTAATAAATTATTATTTGACTTCAAACTTGTAATCAAGGCTAAATAGATTGACTATAAATAATAACCTGTAAAAAATAATGACCTACTTCTGCTTCATAAATAGGTTTTTGAAGTCAAGACTAGATTCTTGTTGTATACTACAAAGGAGCCCAGTGCTCTGAACCTGTAAAATCCATGGTTCCCAGCATATGATTTGTATCAAAAACTAAATTTTTTACTTGCCCGAGGGCAAAAGTTGGGCGCTAGGGGCCAGCGGGCTCTGCTAGAGGACAGCCCTGCAATCAAAAACCTTAGGCCACAGTTTTAATGATCTAACTGTTGTACATAAAAATCTCTTTAGCCGTAACCTATGTCTCTTCAGGCAGAACTTTAATTGTAGCCAAGCTCTGTAGTTTGTTAACGTGTTATGAATCTAAATCTTAACCTTATTATTACCTTCACACTTATCTGGTTCCAGGTTTTCTGGTTCTCTAGCATGGCTCATATCAATCTCGCCTTTCATAAATATTGTGATATAGTGGTAATCTTGCTCCACAACAATTGCATTAACGGCAGTTGCAAAGGAAACGTTCTTGATTTTCAGTCCAGTTTCTTCTAATGTTTCTCTTATGGCACATTCATGCCACTCTTCGCTGTTAAAAACAAAATAAAACAAAAGAATAAGCTCATTCCCAACAGATGAAAAGGAACAGTTTTAGTGATTTAATAATGTATTGATGCCCATCATTTGCTTTCTTTGTGTTCAGCAACCAAAGGTGTTTCTGATGTCCTTCTTTCATCCATGTGCATATGAAAGTACTTGATATATGTGCAAGCCAGGCACCTTACCTTATAACACCTTGTAACAAGGCTCACAGGATTTTCCTGGGGGTGGGGTAAAGTGGACCTAGGATGGGGCATTTGAACAGCTTTTGCAAAAAAGGCCATCTCTTCGCACTCTTCGCCTCCAGGGGTGTTTAGCCAGGAGAGATGTCTGCTCCTCAGCAACCAAAATTCCATACTGATGACGGTAAATCTGTCTGGAATCTGGTCACGAGCTGTGACTGGTTGACATAGTCGTTATTTTGTTTTAGCTATTGTTTACAAACGACGAACAAAAGACAAAAGGTGACAAAGGTATGCAGTTAAATGCAATTTAACGGCGGTAACAGCAAGGAGTGCTAGTCTTATCTTGCTGGCCAGCAGTGTTGTGAGATGTGCTTGCCACAGTATCCCATGTGCTCTTGTGGTTGTGTGCATTGTAGCATGTTCTAATGCATTTCTTTGCATTCTGGCATGTTTGGCCAGTTTTTAGCAGTTTCCAGAGCATTTTTCTTCTCACTTGTAATTTTTTTAGCATTCTAGTGTTTTTAGCAAGTTTGGGCAGTTTTTAGTCAGCATTTACTCAGCCTTGTTGTGTCAGAATCATGGTGACTCAATTTACAGCGTTTCCCTCCTACCTCTCTTCCCTATTTCCACTGACTTTCTCAGTGTGATGGGTGCCTGTTTTCTTCCCTTGTGCATGGGGGCTAATGGCTGGGTTGCCAGGATTTACCATCCATAGAGCTCCTGGACATCTCAGGCACCCAACTTTCCCTTCATGAGCTGTTGTTAATGTAAACCCAACGAATCCACTAAAAACTGTTAATATTTGTGGAATATATATTCCCTCTTTAAAAGAAGCATTTTAGTTTTTGCTGGAACTCATTCACAGAAGAACACAAAACTTTACCATAATATTATTGCCCTAACCTGAGATTAGGCCCAATTTTAGCGGATCTCATACACTCTCCCTAACGGCTACCACTAAAAATTGTCATTTCGCCTTGCCCGCCGGAATGTACTTTTCAAAGCGAAATGAAAATAGAGCTGATCTCAGGTTATAATTGCCCAGGAGAAACATAAAATAGAACAAACCCCATGACTACTAGTCTGCTACACAGCCGTTTTTAGTGTCGTCACATGATGCTCCTCCCAGGAGTGTTGTGTGATGACACTAAAAACGGCTGTGTAGCAGACTACATGATTTTACTGGATTTATTATGTAAACATTGATATATGTCATCAGTATGGAATTTCTGTTGCTGGGTATGACGTCCAGACATTCCTCATGGTGAAACATTCCTGGCAACGAGGTGCGTGTTTCGCAGGCTGGTTGATGCTTCAATTTCGGGGTTATATGCTTCTGATATACTGGATAGATTTGTCTGCGACTTGGACCGATCTAAGATAATCCGAATAATTTACAACTACAACAAAAACAATAACAAAAAAGCACCAAGTAATAAAATGTCAATAGATGGTAAAAATTTTGTTTTAAAAAGCAGCCAGTGACCTGGAGGGGCCGGCCAGTATGTGTCTTAATAAATATATATTTTTCAAAAAGCTTTAGTTAATTGTTGTTTGTTTTATTTTTACTTTTGCGTCATACCTAAACTCCAAATGCCCACCAGGCAAGGCATACAGCCCACTTCCGTGTGATCCTTTCCTCTGGCCTAGTATAATACAATCAGGATGATCAGGAGAGGTAACAAACACGCCGACTCCCACACCAACACCACGAGCTGCTTTGTCCGTCATGTTTTTTCTTTGGCGCGAAATTCTGTTAGGTCATAATGTATGATACACAGTCTGTCTAGTACTGGGCATAAGACTGTTTAATAGGAACATCTTGCGTTTAATACGAAATTTAAGTTCACCACAACTTTTTTGTTTCACTGTGAGTCCCCCTACGTCCAATTACTTCACAAAGTTCAAGTTCATTCAAGTTCCTTTTTGGTTTTAATAGAAGCTATTAAATAGAGCATTTTTTTAATCTTTCCACTGTTCGTGATGCATACATGACAAATCAAAAATGAGACGAGGAGGTCTGAAAACCACATGGAAACGCGCCTAGTTGATTTTCTACACGTGAGAAAAGCCAAAAACAGTAAGATGCCTATTCAGGTGAAGGATTTTGTTTGGGAAGAAACAGATGAAACAGTTTTGATAACTGTTCCTTTGAAAGGAGTACCAACTAAAAAAGTGGATATATTTTCTGTTGATGACTATATCAAGGTATGTTAATTAACCAGTGTTTTAATGTAAAACACTCCTTAAAGATCTTTAACCAGCTTTAACAACAAATAGCAACGCATACAATACAGTATATGATTTCGACTGTTTAACGGGACTAAGCATTAATTCGTGTGTCTGTTTACTGTGAAACTCCCACAACCGTGCACATCGGAAATATTTTTGAAGTGCAGCCCCTTGTGGCAAATGTATTGGGCCGTTATGTACCAGTCAAATCCAACTTGGAGCTGCCCCCCCCCCACCCCCCCACGTGGGGTATTTGCCTACCCTGTCAGTCCTGGGGGTGGGGCATTAGCAAATTTTGTGTGGCCTAGGGGTCGCTGGGCATTTGCCTATCCAGGGCAACCCAGCTTTTGACACACATGGTTTCCTATCCTCATATAACTAAACATGAAGGATTTTACTAGAAACACAAGAAGAGTCATCTATCAAGGACGTGAAGTGGTTAGGCTTAGGGTTGGGGGGGGGGGGCTGGGCATAGACAGATTTGACTGATGCATTCATATCTGTAACCCCTGGTTGAGGACTTATATATCTTTTCTTCTCACCCTTGAAGGATTCCATAAAATTGCATTCACCCCTCAAGACTTCCTTAAAATATAGGGTCTACCCCCAAAGAATATGGGTTACCCCTGATGAATTTTGTGAAAAAGTGATTTTCCCTTCTTAATTTGTCCCTGAAGATTTTGTTGAAAATTAAAGCCTCATTACTCAAAATAACAAAGTACAACAGTTACTGTAGACTGTGTCAGTGATGTTCAATGTGAACAGTTTCTAGTGCAAGTGAGAATCAGTTGGTCATGTTGCATTTCCTTCACTTATTTGTAACTGTTTACTACCCTTTCCATTCGAAAATTTCACCTGGTCATTAAAATTTTTGGTGTTTCCTTTAAAAAGATAATAAGTTATTGTTACTCCAAATTTATCTTTTTAGATGATTAACGAACGTAACGATGTTGTCAAAGCATTTATGGAAGTAGTAATAAAGTATAAGCGTAACTAAAGCTGTTCTTTGCTGATGTTTCCCAACTCTGAAACATGTTAAAAAATCTCAGTATTGATAAAATCAATAACGCTGATAAAATTCAGTGAAGATGATCCAAAATTGATAAATATTATATTGTTATTGGTTGGTCTCACTATTTTCCCCTACCAATTTTTATCGACTATTAATCCAGTTAATCAGCTTTTAACGATTGCTATCAAAATAATGTTATCAATTATGTTGATAATAATGCCTAATGCATCCAACTTAGCTTGTAATTTTATAGCCATAATACCAAAAGGTGAACATAACATAACCAAGTAGCCCTACTGTGAAATGAAAAGCTAAAAAGCTAGGTTTTTATACGGTGAAAGAGAGTTTGTGGTTAAAATCCACACCCATAATTTTATAGTCAAATAGAGGAATGGTATGCAAAATTCCTTTGTCCAAGAGATTTTGAATATTCTTGTCAGAGGATTCCAGACTCATGGGACTTTGTGTTTTGTATGCACTAAGAACATTGTTTGCTAATATTCTACAGGTTAGCTATCCTCCATATTTATTTGAAGCCTTCCTTTATGATAAAGTAGAAGACACCAAGAGTAAGGCAACATTTGGCAATGGGATTATAACATTTCATCTTGTAAAAAGGAGTCCAGTTCAGTGGAATCACCTACTAGCTCCAGAGTCTGAGGACAAAGATTTCAAGAAAAGAAGAAGAGAAGAAGCTATCAATAAAGCACATGACAGAGCCAAGAAAGAAAAGGAACAAAAAGCCGCAGACAAACGGGAACAGGAGAAAGTTGCACTAAGAGAGCAGATGAAGGTAAATCATACAAGGGTTACATACAATATATAGCAGGGTTTTAAACAATAACAGAAAAATATTAATATTATTCTTCATCTTCAACTCCTTCACGAAGCGATGATAAGTACTACTTGTGATGTCATCAACAGAGATAGCAGATGCTTCAATAGGTCCAGCAGCTCTGTTGTAACCAGTTATGTTCAGATCGAGGACGCTATCATATGTAGGTCTGCAATAGCTGTCACAACCTGATGCGGAGATCTTCAGGCAGGATGTTGTCAGGTTCAGTTGACATGCTAGATGAAAAGGGGAGGGAATTCTTGGGTTTTACAGGCTGTCACACACTGGGGAGAGACGGGGTGGGGGAAGGAGATGATGTCTCTTCTGTAGGTAGGATCCTACTGATTGTAAATGTAATGTATTGTAATTGTTTTTGTGTGCGAAATAAAAAAAATAAAAAAAGGATCTTACTGAGGTGTTTGTGGTGACCAATGAGTTTAGGTTCTTTTTGGTGTGGACAGTTTCCAGGATTTGGGGCTCAGGCCAGATGGAAGTAGGTTTGGTATGTCTAGGTATTGGGGTGTCTGTGTGTGGTTGAAGGGTTAGGGGGGACGTCCAGCTCTACATAATCACTGGGCCAAAGAACAGTTGTAGACGATGGTGCGCATAAAGTGTAACATTGCACACATCGCACAGCATGGGAAGCAGGGGTTGAGGCATTCATATGCCCGTAGTGGATGACCTCAGAGTCTTGAATGTATACACACTTGGCACTTAGCAGGGCGAACAGAGATGTCATTGGCGATAAGGAGGGGTGTGCCTGCAAGGACGTCTACATCTAAGTCATCGACAACGAGGGCGTCAAGAGCATGTTGTTTGTCAGTGCAAGATAAGGTAAGGCAAGTTTCACCAATGACAGCTAAAGGAGTCAGACCATCAGCTTGAAAGCTTGCCGGGAATACTTAGTGTTTGGTGCGCCGATGGAACAGGCTAGAGAAGACTTGATCATGCTAGTCTCTGTACCTGTGTTGAGGGTGAGCTGTGTTAGTTAATGCCTATAGAAGGCTTTGAAAACAGGTGACTGTTTAGTGCTGATGGTCGTGACATGAGACCAACATGATGGGTGCTCATCTTCATCTGTGAAGAGAGGAGGCGAATGTCAGGATCTTTGTTGTCAAGAGTAGACATTTCATGAGACCAAGACAGATAAGTATGATCCTCAGGAGGTAAATAAGGGTAAGAGCTGAGGAAGGGTTGGTCATTGCGACCGGCCTGTTTGCAAAGTGGGCAGGACTTTGGTTGCTTGGTAAGAGCCCATGGCTGTGAAGAATGCTTGTGCAAAGGGTGAGGCAGTGGCTGTCTGAACCTCGACACTGTGGTGTGGAGGACTTTGTTGTGGGCAGTACTGTGAATTTCCTCGAGAATAGAATCAAAAACCTGAGAAATTTTAGGTTTCAGAAAAGCCATAGTCTTAGATCTTAATTCAGTGCTGTTTTATGAGTGCGGGAAGGACATTAAATCCTGATAAATCTTTGGGTGTTCGTTAACTCTAATTTGATGTTGGAGAAATCTAGGAAGTGACTGCACCAGTAGACTGGAAGCCGTAGTGGGCCCTTATAATTTGCCGAACGGAATTTGCCAAATTAGATGGTACCATTTTTGCTCATGACTATCGTGCATGACTAGCATATGCCACAACTTCATGTCAGATCATGTCGTGTAAATTAGACCCATGACATCCATACGACACGTGTGGATGTCATAAGTGAAAATTGCGAGTGTGTGGATGGTCGAAAGTTGTGACATATGCTAGTCGCACCAATAGTCATGCGCAAAAATCGTACCATCTAAATCAGCGTTTAGAATTCATGGTTTGACAATATGAAACAAGATACAAGATAGATGCGATACAAACACACGAGAAGAGAAAAACCAGTAACACAATGCCGCAGGAACTGCGTGCTGGCATTACTTGTAGAGGATGAACAAGTCTTTGCAAACATGCTCAAATTTACAACAGACTTTTTTCCAGGTCACATTCCGCAGGCCTTTCAGAGTACACTTCAGTGTGCTACAGATGAATATATTAAAAGAAATTAACTGTTTCCTTCATGCCTTAATATTACTTTTGATGTGCTTTCTTAGATCTAGGGAAAACTGTTTAGAATACTAAGCCTTTGGTAAAACAGTGAGCTTTGGAATATTATAATACCTGTAAAAGAATTTTCCCTTGCTCAAATGTGATTACAACAAACTCAACAGAGATACAATTGTAAAAAGACATGTTATTTCGACTGGCAAATTAAGGGTGTTTCTTGGTGTTGTGGAAACTATTGTTGGTTTGCTTAAATTGTTCTGGGTGTGGGTATTGTTTGGTGTCTTAAATTTCGTCTTTTGTAATGTCCTTTGGTGATCGCACCTAGCTGTCTGCAACACCAAGAAACTAACAAAATTATTTTCACTGAGACTCTTGCCTCCTGGACATTCTGTTGAAAAAATGTATATCCTTCACTTTCAATACATTCAAATAACAAATATAAATATTCAAAAATACAAAATTCAAAATACATTCAAATAACTTCCAAAAATTTCAAAATACATTCAAATCAATTTCAAGAATTTATCCTTCACTTTCCATAAAATAATGTACTCACACCCAAAAAGCTGTATGTTTGTACTGGAAGGGAAAGCAAGGTGAGAAGACTCAGAGATGCATGCAGAGTTAGAGTTGAAAACAGAGTTTTTTTCTTTTTCTCTCTCTTTTTTTGACCAGCTTAACAAGCTGCAGATGAGAGTTTTTTCAGAAATAGCAAAATCTACTTGTAGTGAATACTTCAGTAAAAATACACCTCCATTATTGTATTTTGTTTATTTGCAGGTTATAATTTCTTTTAATGTATATGTTGTTGTTAATTGCCAGATAGAACAGGAAGAAAGGGCCAAAATTGATGCCATAAAGGAAGAGGAACGTAAGAAAGCAACAGAGGCAATTGAAAGATGGAAAGAGAATCAAAAATTGCATGTTACTCAAGAAATAGAAACTTCAAAAGAAGATCATTTAGTTATGGATGATAACAAGGACAGTGAACTGGAATTCAAAGATGAGAAACCTGATATTAAGGAGACAAAAGTTGATGAAAGTGATGGTGAAACTCAGATGATGACAAGCTATAAGCCCACTGTAAAAGTGCAACCATCCCATAATAACAAAAGGACAACTGGTATGTTTTCAAATATTTTATTAAGATCCAGGATGTGCATTTAATCATTTATTAAAACCTGATCCTTTTTTTTGTTTTCCCTCTTGCCATTATCTTCTTTCTCCTGGGATCCTTTACATAAAACCTGAACTAAGACACCTATTATTAATCTGTTACAGGTGCACTTACAGGCATTTTGCATAGAACCGTAGTTATACTCAAAGAAGAGTAACACATGCATGAAAGATGTTTCGCAAGTATAGCCTGAGAAAACAGCTGACATTTGGTGACGCTACCACTGGTTTCCCTGCCAAATAATGTCTGTGAAACAAGCGCAGAAATTTCATACTGATGATGTGTCACTACCCAGATCTGGGTAGGGCTTCTGATTGGTCGAATCAAGTTTTCCCCACGGCACAACCAATCAGAAGCACTACTCAGATCTGGGTAGTGACGCATCAAATTTCTGCGCTCATTTCTCAGAGGTCATTTGGCAGGGAAACTGGTGGTAGTGTCTCCAAATGTTGGCTGTTTTCTCAGGCTATTGACAGTGTTGATAACAGCGATTGTTACTGCTTCCAGTGCCAAGAAAAAAAAAATGTGACTCAAAAAGTTTGAAAACATTAATTTTAGCAGGTGGTCGATTGACGGTGACCATTTCATCGTTGAAACTGCAGATAATAATAATAATAAGACATTAATAATATTCATCAAGCACCCTTTCCTAAGGGTCCAAAAGGTGCTTTATGCAGTTAAAATTTAAAAAGTGCAATCAAAGTTTAAAATTTAAAAACCACAAGGAAAAAAAAATAATATAAGATATGAAACACCACAGTCACATCATTAATAATATTAAAAGGGCGCATCTAAAAAGAACAGTTTTCAGCTGTCTTTTAAAAATGTCCCATGATCCAGCATCTCTAATATGCTGAGGAAGACTGTTCCAAAGAAGTGGCGCAGCACAGAAAAAGCATGATGGCCATGACTATTGATGTTAAAAGCCGGTACAGCAAGTAGATTCTTCTTTGAAGACCTAAGATCCTGTGCAGGGATGTAACTATGAAGAAGATTTTTAATATACAGTTGTAAGCAGGAGCCAGTCCATAGAGAGTAGGTAATGATAAGTATCTTAAATTCAATTTGGAGATCAATAATGGGAGCCATCATAAAATAGATGATTTTTTTAATGTCTGAAATAATATAAAATTAACTAATATAGGCAAAATGGTACAAATAAATTTCACTCACATCACATGCGGTTTCGAACCAATACTCGTCAGTTTTTTTCTGTTAAAATAACGTATTTTTTAAAATGTTTCCTAAATAATACAGTAAAATTATGCTGACCCACAATGGGATTAACATGTCATGTAAGCCCCTCTAGTCATGTGATGCAAAAAACAGCCAGTTTGCCTAACAACACATTACAGCTGACAGCACACTTGTTCTGCACCCTACAAAACTGCTTTGCTGGGAAAATTCACAGTTTTTGCACTGTGAACTCGGTACCTAACATAATAACCTGAGATTAGTAGCTTTCATATACATGCTGAAATTTTATTAAGAGTCTAATCAAGGGTTACAGGCAAACCTACCGTGCTGGGCAAACTCAAGATTTTTACACTTTCAGCTCTGCACCAATCACAACTTCATTTCTGTCTTTTGACTTAATTTGTGTTGAAATAAAGTATGTAATCATTATTTTACACACCTTGATTTTCCTATCATTTTTAAACATGAGTTTAAAACGTAAATCAGTAAGTGGGTAACGTAGCACATTATAAGATACCAGTAGTATTAGTTAAGCAAAAAACCTTTTCTTTCACCTCTTACTTAAAATCTCAGTTGTAAACCTCACTAACGTGCAGGCCCTATATAGGTCCTGTAAATTTACGTACTTTTGTTTCCACCAAAAAACCTTTTTTTACAACACTTACAGTTTCTGTTGCATAAACAACAATAGTGTGACTTACTTCATAATATTGTTAGTGCAATCCTCATTCAAAGTTGACCACATTATTTTATGCAACTCTAGAAGATTTTTTTTGTGGTAACAGTGTCCTTAAGCGGGTGAATTCAGTCCAGTGCAGTGCAAGGAACAGCACTTTCCACTGAAAGTTAAAAAATGACTAGACTTAGATATGGCTGACAGCATGCAGTTATTGGCAATGATGACAATAAGAACAGTAAAAAAACTAATAGGTTTGGAATTTTATTCAGCAAAACAAAACTTTGCATGTTTGTCATGCTTTTTTGTTTATTTTTCACATACTTGCACTACCAGAACACTGTTGTTGCTGAGGCTCCCTATTAATCCTATTAATAGTTGATGGACATCATCGTTTTAGGCAAGAAGAGAGAGATGTTTGACAAACCAGTTCCAGAACCCAGATCAGGTGGTTCCATTTCAGTATCCTTTACACCAAGAGTTTTCAAAACAGCAGCCAGGGAATCTAAAGCACCAGAGGAGGAAGAGGTAAGTTTGCAACTTCTTCAACCAATGTTGATAATAACATTCTAATAAACAAATTAAGAGCAATAGTAAGTGGTAATCTCGTAAAGAAGAACTTGCCACAACTTTAGATCAGTTTACTTAAGTTGACAGTAAAACTAACTAAGGTAAAAAGGTAAAGCAAACATATTTTACGTTGATAACTCGTGACAGTGATAACTGATATGTCTTCTGATATGTCATCGTCATTTACAGTCTACTGGGCTCACTCACTAGATGTTGCTTTAAGCATCTATAGGCCAATTTTTTTTAGATACTCAAAACTCTCTTTGCATTCATGTACATCGTAAACTCAACCGGGTGAAAGAGAACTTGAAAAAATTAATAATTCTTGTCCATGATCCAACCATTTGTGATAATGATTAACCCACTGCCAGAGTGAGTTATGGCGCTCATAATTAAGGTCATATCTTGTCTTTTGAGTCTGTGGAAAAAATCCACTTGTGAGGCAGTGAAGGGAGAATCTGACCATATTATCACAAAACTTCGTGTGAGCATCAAAGACAACAAAAACTAACTGCAAAGTAAGTTTCATTGGCTTTTATTTAGTATTTCTACAAATTTTAGGATCATACATGTAAATTCACCCCATACAAACACTATAATTTTACAGGATTTGTACTGTCACAGAGCCTGGGTTGCCTGTGCTTTCACATGGTGTTTGTTTTTCAACATTTTACTAAATGAAATTTACCAATTCTGCTGAATTTTGACCTTGGCCACCTTTGGCAGTGAAAGAGTTAAAAAGTTAGAACTATTTTTTCAGGCTCTTTGCCAACCACTTCTGTTGATCACATTGATGTGAAAAGATTCCAATTTTGTTTTTTAACATACCGTACATGTATGTTTCTGACTTAATCAGAAGACATGTAGGGTAGGCTCGTCCTCCTTACTTTTGTGTCATTCTCAACAATATTTGCTTTAAGTCAGTTTTACAAAGCTCTGAAATATATCTTTGCTTTTAACAGTGGCTTAAAAAAATGGCAAGTGCAGGTCGCAAAACGGATTACACAAACAGTGATGCTATCGATATGGAAGAAATGAATCCAATATGGCTAAAAGACAAAGGAATGTAAGCTTACCCTCTCATAAAAATATATAAAAGACACTAAAAAAGAATAGTGGTTATACAGTCAATCCTCCACTAAACAACAACCCCCCATAATGTGCACCCGAAAATGAACAGCAAGCGGTTGGCACTGCAATTTCACCACTAAAACCCTACATTGTTCACTTACCATACTTAACACCTCCCATAAGGGGACGCCTAGCCTGGTCCTGCAAGCCAGCTATATGAAAGGAATTCTGTGTTCTGATTGACTTTCCAAGCAGGGAAGGTAAACAAACCCTTGGAATTACCAACTTCATTCGAACAAGAACAATTTTTCTTTTGGCCATGTCACAAATCCTTTTTTAGCCGGAAAAGGTTGTTTATTCAATAAACTGGGGTTAGTATAATCCTTTTTTGTCTTTTTTGAAATTGACCAATATCCAACCACTATCTTGACCTTAATATGCTTGTGATGCTTGGACTATAACTAAAATATCCTGGACATTTTTGAAAAGCTCATGGCATCTCTACCGAGTAGAAATCTCCTGTACAATGTTAACCTAAGATCAGGCGTTATTATTATTATTATTATTATTATTATTATTATTATTATTATTATTATTATTATTATTATTATTATTATTATTATTATTATTATTATTTTTTTCTTCTTTAGCTTCTTTGCTTCTTTGGTTCAAAAACAGATTATAGAGACAAAGGGAGAGGGCATGATCTCAGGCTAGTACAGTGTATACAGTGGAAGCTCTCCTAACAGACACTCTGCTTACGGCCACCTTTAAGCTACCTTTAGAAACCCCTGTTTTCCTCAACTCCCAAACAAACTCTGTATTTTTACATTCCCGTAAGCGGCCAGCTCCAGTTACGGACACCTTTTTCCCGTCCCGAGGGTCCCGAGGGTGTACTCTCACAAGAGCTTCCACTGTATTGCAGCTACGTAAAAGAATACTGATACATACATTTTGCTTACTGATTTAATTTTTACAGTGGATTTTACAAGGTTGGAAACTATGTGGCTGCCATCAATGCATTTACCGCAGCCATTGTGTTAGATGGTTCAATTCCATCGTATCCTTTGAGTACAAGCCTTTATATTACACTGTTGAGAAAATGGCGAAGCAGTACCCTGTTTGAGCAATAAAGAAAAACCACTTTGGATCTGCAGGTCCAGGTTCAAGCCTTGGCTTGTCAAGCCTTTCCTTACCAAGCTTTGCATTGTCTCCATAGACAAGAACAGACTTATAATGGGCTGTCTCAGGGACGTACAGCTGGGGATGGTGATCCTGTGATTGTCTAGAATCTCTTCAGGGGAGAAACAGCGGTAATAATTATGTACTCCCAGGTACCCCATGCTGCAGAAACTGGGTTAAGAGCTCCAGCCTTGTAGGCCTGTGGCCCCATGAGCGCTTTCTTTACCTTTCATCATCATTATCATCATCGCCATCGTCATAATCATCATAATCATTATCGTAATAAATAGAACATTACATGGCCGCTTGGGCAAATGAAATTTCCTTTCTCTTGTTGAAAACTGTCTGACTCGTTCGCTGTGCTCACTTTTGAAATATTTTTCAACTCTCGAAGAGAAATTTCTGCGCGGCCATGTAACATCCTCTATAAAATGATACTGAATGTGTTTTTTTGCCTGTGAAGTGTTTTTTCTTAATTTCACTCAGATTATACTCCAACAGGGCGGCTTGTCATCTTCAGTTAAAACAATACAAAGAATGTGCACAAGATTGCACTAGTGTAAGATTCCGTCTCCTGTTTGTGATAATCAATAACGGCTGTTCTTGTGGTTTCTGTATTCTTACGACTCAAATTTGAATCATGATCATTATTATAAACTTTTTTCAGGCGTTAGAGCTCCTGGTCCCTCCAGTTCAAGCAAACTCTTCATCCAGATGTAAAGCTTATGTTAGAAGAGGGACGGCGTTCATGCAGATGGAGGAATATGTGTTAGGTAATTAGCTAAAAAATATATTTTTTGACAAAATGAGAAAATACTTTTGCCTGCGGAAACGTTCAAACATGCAGTGCAGTGATTGTCGAGTTTACAGTTTGTTCCAGATGTTAAAAATGAGCGTATTTCCTATTCTGCCTTCTTTTGTATATGACACTTTCATTGTAAATAAGAAGAGGATAACTATTATATGGGTTATTATATGGCCGTGCGGAGATACGAAGTATTTTTTTAACACAAAAAGAGAAATTTGGTATCTCCGCTCGGCCATTTAATATCCACGCAGTATTACACACTCAGATCATTCCGCTGAACACTTGCATCAGACAAGATCGTGATTATCCAACAACTTTAGCCCATTCATCAAGTACTAAAATTAACAGTGAAACAGTAGACCTTCCTCTCAGGGACCCACGATACACCCGGTCACATACAGTCATTGTCAATGATCAGTTTACTTGCATGTGTCAATATCCTTTGTATATCTTTTTAATACAGCTCTTGAAGACTACGAGTCAGCTCTAAAACTTGACCCCCAAAACGCGGACCTACGGAGAGACTCAGACAGAATACGGAATATCATTCAGGGAACCACGTAGGGTTGTGGAGTTTTCTCTCGAAGTCGATAAGGTCAGGGTAGCTGACGATCACTGCAAGATCGAAGGAAGACAAAAATGTTGTGAACATCAGACTGTTTTGCAGAGGGGGAACTTCACAGCAGTGTCGAGGCTGTCGAGGGGAGAAAAATGAGAAAGCCAATGAAATTTAGCAAATGTTAAGTCGAGGAATAACGTTATCTTGAATCTCCATGAGATCAACCATTTATGGACACAGTTTTATGCCAACAAGTTACGGCAGTGGTCTCATCAAGTCACGTGTTGCTACAGGAGATAAATATATTTTCACAGCTACTTGAGATTGATTTCGTTGTTGAGGTCAATGAAAGTCAGTTGAACAAGTATCAAGTAAATTGCTGGTTTAAAGCTCGATGAAATCGTGTTTTAACCTTTTACACTCGAAGTACGAAAAGAAATAAAGTGGCTGTTTTTTACTTGATTTCAGTACAACTAGCCCTATGTGACAGTCGGTGCGTGTGAGATTTTTTTTTTCTCAATTAGTTGCCTACGTTTGTTTTACAATTTCAGCAAACTAAAGCTCCGTTGATTTTTAGAAAAATTGTCTCGGTAAAGAGGGTCACCCTCCCAGCCAAGTCACAAAGTTGACCATTTTGACCGAGCCAACAGTGCCGAGTTGACCGGCTGGGCGAGGCAAAGAAGGTGACTCTACCAACGAAAAAGCCGGGTCACCCCTCTAGCCGAGCCTATTTGTTTCTCATGTAGACGTGGAACACATGAACGTTTTCCGATAACGCAAGCGTCTAGGCAACAGTTTCCACTGATCTTGGGGTATCAGTCATCGAAGTATGTTTTGAAAACTGATACACTGAGTTGACACCAATAACTCGAACCTCGCGCTAACTCGAACGAAAGTTAATTTCCTTTACACATTGACTGTAATTTTACCCTCGCTATAAACTCGAACCCTCGCTGATAACTCGACAGCACTGACTCGAACCTCCCGCTAACTCGAAGTTATATTTGTTTCCCTTCCCTTTTGTAAATCACATGGCCACCAGAACATTTATAAAAAAAGAAACAACCACAACAAAAAAAGGATAAAAATTTAGTCGAAAGACTAAATTTTTATATCTACATTGACCTGGATAACAGAGAAAGAGCGAGAGCGAGAGATAAGAAACAAAAGAGACCAATTTCGTTGGAAGAAAAACATGAAAATTTTATGGCGGCGGAGAGGAAAAGAGAAATGCTAGCGGCCACCAAGGTGAAAATGAGCGGCAGTGAAAAAAAAGTGAGTGAGGCACACTTAGTACATACTTATAAAACGTGTCGCTAGGAAGTTTCTGGAAGTTTCACGTTGTAGTCGTGCAAAACAACGGCAACGAAATGTACCAAAAAAGTGTGCTGCACGTGCCACGTTGTTTTTTGCTAATTAGACCTAATGATATTTTACCGTTTTCGTTGCCGTCGCCGCTTAGCATTACACGATTTGATATTTTGTTTGAGTAAATTATAGATATTAAAAAGAGCTTCGCTTTTAGCCCTAGCTAACTCTGTATATTTGATGTTGCATGAGTTTTCATTCATGAATTCACCTGTCAAATTTTTGTCTGTCTGCTATCTTGGATAAAAATGTTGAGAAAAGTGGACTTTACCACGTCTAGTTTCAAGATAACGCTCTTGAAAGCACTGGCAACTACAAATACTACCATCTCCCCCAAATAAACACTGTTGAAGTCCAGCTGGATCATTTCTGATCCCGACTAAACGTGGGGCAAGGGGAGGGGCCTTAGTGGTACCAAATCCCGCGGGATAGGCGTTCAGTGGGTAAGAAAGCACAAGGGTTGTATGTTGTTCCTGGAGTGTGACCAAAAGCGTGACAAAGCAAAGCTTTAGAAATTTCAGTTTCGAAAATTTTGTCGTAAATCGAGCACAAGACACTTCAATCTAGATGTTTGTTCGAACAACTCCATTGCTTGGTTGCCCCTATAATAGATAATTTGGCGCTGTTAGAAACGAAACGCAATGTACATGTCTGGGACTCCCTTCCCTACCCTACTAAGTTTTTCACCCCTACTCCCAGAGTCTGTACGGGCGAGTGGTAGGTCGGGCGTACGCTGACGTCATAACCAAATTTTCTGGCATCGATAGGTTTCAATCAATCAATCAACAACTTTATTTAAGTGTCTAATCTTCTAGCTTGCCGTCAGGCTTACTAATCGGGGACACTACTAATCGGTTTCCATTTTTTAAGGGCTCCGCTTTGGGCTCGGCCGCGCGCGGGACGCTCCGCCAAACTTTATTAGAACCCAGTCCTAACACTGCCATTAATCATGAAAACAAAATGGAGGGACGTTCAAAGCGGTACAAGAAGATTGACTTCTTGGGTGAAGGACAGGTATAAAGACAGTACTTAAGGTTGTATGTTTAATTCAACAGCTGAGTGTTCTAATACTGATCATTTTGTTGGATAGTTTGCCACAGTATACAAAGCCGAAGACCAGGAAACTCACACGATTGTTGCAGTGAAAAAGGTGGATTTCTATCTCCTTTTTTTCTACTCCCAGCTTCTTTCTATTACAAAGTGTATATATTACTTGTTGAACAAATTTAAAAACCTAATATCGAAGAAAATAATATTTAAGATGCCTAACAGGTTGCTTCCTAGTTGTATGGAAAGTCTTGTGTACATGTTTTAGCTTTTTTAGTTTAGGATCAGAATGATATGAACACAGAAGCTTTTATTAAAAATCTTACTGCTGTTCATCAGTTTCTTAAAAATCTCTAAAGCCAAGTAGTAGATGATCATTTTTAAATCTCTAAAGTAATACCAAAAGGAGCTCACGTTTCTGTTAGGGTATATATTTGTTACAACAACTGTTCTTACACTCATTTTATGATATAACTGAACCCTAGGAGGGAGGCTGGACACTAGTACACATTCTAACTCACCTGACAAGTATACCGAGCGGCATGAAATTTTTGCGGGTTCTAATTTTTGTGAGTTTTGTGATTCTTCCAGTGATCCGCAAAAATAAGTTCCTGCAAATAAATATTACCGCAAACATTTTTCCTGCAAAAATTTACTCCAGAGTAAATTTTCTCTAACTTAAGGTGATTCCCTGGTTTTGCACTGTGTATCTCTTACTGCGCATAACAAGATGGCTGCCGTAAAAAAGAGCATGTGAAGTAACATTATTAAAATGAAGTTGACTGAAGAGAAACAATATTGGAATTTTTGCTTGCTGTTGTTTCTTGCCGAGGTGAGACTTAATGTGTTGGGAAAGTGCATAACGTAAGCAGTACGCATGTTGCTGAGTTCGACTTCCTCACGGAGAACCTCGATAATAAATGTTTAACTTATGGTTTCTCACTTTGATTTTCATTTAAACGCTTTCTTTATCACATTGTGTCCTAAATGTGATATCTTGATGTAAATTCTGTAAAAGCGGATTTTTTTAATACTTTCTTCCCCCTTTCACATAGATTCTATTTTGAAACTCGCCCCAGTCCTCTCTCAAAAATCGGAGAAAATGCATTTGGTGGGCACTTTCTGCAGTTCTACCGCGAAAACGAGTACGGTGACCCCCATTTTTTATTTCATGATTTTAATAAGGACAGTGCTTCCTTTCGATGAGAAAAAAATTGGCACAAATCTATGTTCAGTTTTTTGGCAATTTTACTAAATTGTACGGATTGAGCTATCACAGGTCGAATAGCGCGTACGTCCAATTTAATTCTACTTTGGAGCATAAAGTAAAAACAAGGGCATTAAAAGGCATTTTTCTGGTAAGTAAGTGGATAAACAATACATTAAAGCCAAACTCCGTNTTAATAAGGACAGTGCTTCCTTTCGATGAGAAAAAAATTGGCACAAATCTATGTTCAGTTTTTTGGCAATTTTACTAAATTGTACGGATTGAGCTATCACAGGTCGAATAGCGCGTACGTCCAATTTAATTCTACTTTGGAGCATAAAGTAAAAACAAGGGCATTAAAAGGCATTTTTCTGGTAAGTAAGTGGATAAACAATACATTAAAGCCAAACTCCGTGTGATACCACATGCATCATCGAAAAAATCTCCCCTTTTTGTCTAGTTTTGGGCTGCCTGCGGTTTTTGTAAAAGGGTCCTAAATAGCCGTATTTGTCAGCATTGTGACGTCAAAACGAGCACAGTGACCCCCACTTTTTATTACTTTTTTTTCATCTTCTTGACTTGTTACATCAGTCTACCAAGTTTCATCTACAATCTATGTTAGGTTCTTTTACTAGGGAATCACCTTAAATTTGCTACACAAAAATATAGTACTAAGAAATTGTGTCTGTTAAAATACATAGGGTACGAATACTGTAGTATTGTTTAAAAATAATCTTTCTATTGCACGTTCTTAACAAAAACAAAAAATTATAGTATCAATGCTGGGCAGTGGTTACGTTCCGAAAATTGCAAGAATTAATTCCCAGCAAGAAAAACCAGTCTGTTCTAATCGCAAAAATTAGTTCCAGCAAAACACAAGAGATCGCCAATCCGCAAAAATAACCTCCCACAAAAATTTCATGCCACACAGTAGGCTTACCAGGTTGAAGTGTTATTCTGAAATAATTTGTAGAGGGGCTGCCATGATCAGCCTTTTAAGTAAATTATGGGCACAACACAGCCAAAGCACAAGAGACACAAGAGATTTCTGGACGCGAGAGCTTTAATCACCAGCTGCTATTCGTCCTTTAAAGTCTGACCAGCAAGTTGAGCAGATACATAATATTTTCTCCTTTCTTTATCATTATTAATTTTCTTCAAACTGTCAACGCTACACGGTTGCTACACTGCTTTGTATTCTAATCTTGGAGATAGGAGTTTCCTGTTACATTTGATCTTATTTCTAAAGTTCATGAGTCAGTAAGAAGAACTGGTCAAACTTGCATAGTGCTCAGTGTGTTGACAGCATTTCATTGCTTATGAAGCCATCCAGTGTTCCCACACTGTGGCTGCAGAGAATTTGAATGCATTAGTAAAAAGAGA